TTCCGTTTCGTGAAAACTTATTCTGAACACACCGTGAAATAAACAAAAACGTGTCTTCCATTCATTAATCCATCGTAGAATGCAAAAATTCCATTCATTAGTATGCCCGTCTTTGAAAGATACTGTGTATAATGGATTCAGAAAACTTTGATTACTCCCTTGAATGTTTGCATTCTAAGATGAATTAATGAGTGGAAGACACATTTTTGTTTATCTCACGGTGTTCAGAAGAAGTTTTCACGAAACGGAAGTGTACTCCGGGGAATTTCGTCAACGATTCCACGCCTTTACGATTAAACGCCTTCATTAGACTTTTTATTAAGGATTCCATTCATAATACTTACTTGGATTGTTTTGTACAGTGAATAATTGTATGAATATATCTATATTTTGTAGTGTACCTCGGCTGCTTTTTTTATTCTTTGTTTGTTGGTCTGAAGCAGCAGAACAAAGTTTGAGGCCGGTGGTACCTTTAAGACCAACAAAGTGAGCAGTACTGCTCACCCTCTACCTATATGTACCTATATGTATGGACTGGTAATTTCCATTTCATTGTATCTGAAGAAGTGTGCGTGCACACGAAAGCTTATACCTTGTTTGTCTTAAAGGTTCCACTGGACTCAGACTTTGCACATGAGTAAAGGGCAGGGGTCATTTCCTGCAGGAGCGCACAGGAGCAGAGCTCCGGCAGTAAAGAGCCCAGGGGGCGGGCACATGCAACAAGCCCCACCTCCTGCTCCCAGCAGCCCTCAGTCAGAGCAAGAAGCAGCCAGGTAAGTTGCAGAGCCCCCCCCGGTCCAAAACAGTCCACTGGCACCTTTAGGACCAAGTTTTATTCAGGTACAAGCTCTCCCTCCTCTGCGAGGACAGATCTGCACGTTCCCCCCCCCCAATAGCTAGCAATCCAAAACAGTCCAGTGGAGCCTTCTGACACACTTCCAGTGACATCAGGGGGTGTGGCACATGCAAATGAGTTATGCTAATGAGTTGTGTTAATGAGCTCCTGCACCTCTTTTTCTACGAGATGACCCCTGGTAAAGGGACCCTTAATCCTCCTTGACTGATCATTCTGGCTTAGCCCATGCCAGCTTTTGAGACTGGGTCCCATTACAGCCATACTTGAATAAGAACAATTCGAAACGCGGCTTCAGGCATCCGGATTACGCGTCGGCTTTTGATGGCTCAGAAGCTTTTGATGGCTCAGAAAATTTGATGATTGGCATTCCAATTTGGACTTTGATATTGCCTCTATGCTAGAGAAGACTCTGACTGTTTCTATTATCTTTGCACTTTGGCCTATTGATTTATATCATACTTGTTGTTATGCTTATTTGATTTACATTACACTTGCTGTTATGCTTATTTGATCATTATATACTTGCTTATTTGCTTGTAAGTTGTTTTTGCCTAGTGGTGTTTTTTTTTTTTTTTGGTTCTGCACACCAGGGAAAGCAGCTGCATCATGTAACGTGCCAGAACGATATCTTTAAGGGTTACGGATCTCTGGCATGCAAACTAAGCCCAAGTAAGTACTTTGCCACACAATGTAATAAGACCCTCAGCTTGGGCAAAGCTGCACAGGGACTTTCGGCTGTTTGGCAAATTGTGGCTGTTGTAGATAAACACCTGTATCCTGGGTCTTTTTAGTTGGTTTTTTAGTCTATGTACACATGACAACTATGACAAGAACATAAAAAGAGCCAGGATTTTTGTGGCTTGTGGGGCAAACATTTTTCTGGTGGGGCTGCCATTATGTCCCATAATGAAGCAGGGGTGGTGGTGCATGCCTCTCTCCCTCCCCTCCTGCAAGATTTAAAGGGCTCTTTAGCTGCGGTGGCTCAAGTGGTTAAGACGCTGTACTGCAGGCTGTGGAAGGTCAGTAGTTCAGCAGTTCAAGACCCGGGTGCCGCAAGACGGGGTGAGCTCCTGTCTCTAGTTCCAGCTCCTGCAAACCTAGCAGTTCGAAAGCAAGAAATTGCAAGTAGATAAATAGGTACCACTTCGATGGGAAGGTAACAGCGTTTCGTGCGCCTTGGTGTTTAGTCATGCCGGCCACATGACCACGGAAACGTCTTCGGACAGCGCTGGCTCTTCGGCTTTGAAACGGAGATGAGCACCACAACCCTAGAGTCGGATTCGACTGGCTTTCGAGCAAGGGAACCTTTACCTTTACTTTAGCTGATTGGCAGTGGGCACGTGGCCTGCCAATCAGCTAGAGGGCCTGTGGTGTCCTCGCTTATTGGGGAGACGGTTTTACCTTTAAACACACTCTGTGTACAAGAACTTGGTAGATTTCTGCTGCCACCAGGAATTAAAAATTCCAAATCTCTCTCATTTGGTAGAATGACCTAGGGTCTGGGCACTTCAGAGGACTATGTGGCCCTGAGGAAGGACTATTCTGATTTCTGGGATAAGTTTTTTTTTATTTTTTTTGAAATTTAGTAAATATTACATATTGTCTTTTTACCTGTACATTTCGTGTTGATTTTTAACCCTCCCCCCTCCCCCCTCTGCTATTCCAGTGCGTTAGTCCTTTATTCCCAGCCACGGGCACAAGGTCCAAATCTTGCACTGAATGTCTTTTCTTCCTTCTGTTGGCAGCCATTCCAAGTAGGTCTTCCATTTCGTCCTAATTCCATGTGGTCTTCCGATTCAATTTCTCAATTATATCCGACTGTATGAAATCAAACAAATAATTATGCCAGGTTTCTACTGTCCACTTACTCTTGTCCTTCCAGCCTAGAGCTATCACTGCTTTACTTGCTAGTATCATGACTTTAAACATAGCTTGGTTCTCTTTACTTACTGCTGGGTTTCCTATTATACCCATTAGCATTAAATTGAAGTTAATGGTCAGTGAAACTTTACATATTCTTTTTATAATTTGTAATATTTTTGTCCAGAAAGCACTAACCTCTGGGCATGATTTCTGGGATAAGTTTAAACAAAAAATGATTTATTTAATAAAGAACAAAATAGGTTTCTGGTTATTTTTACTGCTGCGGATGAAAGGAACTTGTAAATATAACTGGCAAAGCTTGGTGTCACAGTCTCTCAAACTCCCAAAACTCCACTCTGACAGGCTTAGACACTCAGTCTAATCTCTCTCTCTCTCATCTATATAGCCACACAGGCTGAACACTTTGTTTCTTTCACTCAGAATAGACTCAAAACTCATATTCATACAGACTAATCTGTTTGTCTTATTCATACAGAATAGACTCAAAATCTCCCATAGTCACACAGACTATGCTCTCTCTTCAAACTTCACACACAGAATCACTCTCATAGACACCCCTCCTCCCACACTCTCCGTCATCAGCCAATCACATCACACTTATCTCCCTCTATCACTCTTCTTACAGTACTGCAGTCACACTAAACATTTAAAGAAACACACACATCAAAACATGAAATCATTACAGGGCCCATTAAATCTTGCAGGAGGGGAGGGAGAGGGGCGCACACCAGCCCCCAGTTCTTCTCAAAAGCATTTAAGGGGTTCCTTTGAATGCTTTTGAGAAGAAATGGGGGGCCTTTAACAAGTGGGGCCCTTTAAGGAAGGGGGCAGAGCCCCAAATAGTTCCACTGTAGCTATGGGCCAGAGAAGAGCCCTGCTGGATCAGACCAATAGTCCCTCTAGTCCAGCATCCTGTCTCACACAGTGAGTGTCTTTAAAGAAGCATAGAAAAGTGAACAAAAATAATATACATAATCATAAAAAAATATATATTGACGGTGATCTCCGGAATGTCTTGCCGTTTCGAAGGAAGATCTTCTTCTGAACAAAGATGTGGGACAAAAACTGTCTCTCAATAGTTCAAATAGTTTGATAACAATAGTTATCAAAGAAGATTTTCAATAATCATACCAGCTGAAAATCTTCTTTGATAATTGTGAGACGTCACCAGAGGATATGAACTATTGAGAGACAGTTTTTGTCCCACCTCTTTGTTCAGAAGAAGATCTTCCTTCGAAACAGCAAGACATTCCGGAGATCACCATCAATATATATTTTTCTATGATTATGTATATTATTTTTGTTCACTTTTCTATGATTCTTTAGAGACATATATGAAGCGTCACTTTCTCACAGTTTTTCTTGTTCTCCGTATTATCTCATTACTGTGCCAATCAATTGTTATTATATTATCACACAGTGAGTGGCCAGCCAGTTCCTCTGGAGGTCCAACAACAGGGTAATGAGGCCAAGACCTTCCCCGGAGGTTGCCTCCTGACTCTGGGATTCAGAGGTTTAGTGCCTCTCGATGGGGAGGTTCCCCTCAGTCACCACGGCTAATGGCCACTGACAGACCTATCCTCCATGAATCTATCTAATCCCCTTTTAAAGCTGTTTATTATCACCACGAGATCTCTGCACCAGAGCTGTGTGGCTTAGTGGTTAGAGTGTCAGACTAGGATCTAGGAAACCCGGGTTCAGATTCCCATTTTGCCATGGAAGTTTGCTGGGTGACTTTGGGCCAGTCACACGCTCTCAGCTTAACCTACCTCACAGGACTGTTGTGAGGGTAGAATGGAGAGGAGGAGAACAATGTAGTCTGCACTGAGTCCTCATCAGGGAGAAGGGTGGGGTATAAATTAAGTAAACAAATAAGCGATATCAGTGGCACGTTACCTGGCTGCAGCCGGTTTCCATGTTCTATGTGCCTGCTTTCCAAATTCCACCATACGGCTGATCTAATATAACAATTCTTCCTGGTTAAAAAAAAATCAAAAGAAAGAGAGATAGGGTTACATTCCCCCCCACCCTTTTTATTCTGTGCAGCACGCTTTCTTCTTTTTAAAAACAGAGATAGTCACTGAGTGATAGGTCTTCTGATCTGTCTGGTTCATCTTTCCTTTCCTCTTTGCCTGCCTCGCTGTGCCTTTAAGTGGTGTGGTTTGGCTTTGCGTGGGCCGTGCATGTGTGCCTGGGAAGCCAGAAAACCAAGCAGCTGCAGCGCAAAGAGAAGGGTGTCTTCCGTAAGAGAGTTCCCACCATGCCTGCGTGCTGCAGTTTGAAGAATGTGTGTGAATACGAGACTTCCAAAGTGGTGCGCATTCAGAGTGTTTACTACGGGAGCATCAAGTGGGCTATCCACTCTGTCGTCTTCTTGTATGTCTGGTAAGTTGAAAAGAACAAAGTTGACCGTTGAAAATAGGCCAAAGGTTTGAGCAGACCGGGGAAGCTGGTGTGGGTTGCAATCGTTCCACGTAACGCCTGCCAGAATCAATGGGATTTGCGTCTCTGAACATGCTGCGGCCAGATTGTCAGAAGTCCTCATTGACCAGAACTCTGAAATAGTACCCAAAGTATCAGCATAAGCCATCTGGTAAAGTAAATTGAAGTAAACAAAAGGGAGTCCTATGGCTCCTCAAAGACTGATTGAAATACGAGCCTTGAGCTTTCATTCCAAACTGAACAATAATAACTGTTAAGGCGCCATGGGTTCTTTTTGCTCTGGGCTCACAGCACGACTGCTGCAGAAGTTTAAGTGGATGTATTGCCTTAAAGTTAAGTCATTATTGTGTTTATTTGAACCCACTGTGTCGCTGTCTTTAGTCCAAAGAACGAGGCTGTGAGGCGGGTTGGGAGAGCCCTTTGCTCAAGATCAGCCAACAAACCTTGTGTCTGGGGCTCTCTGGTTGAAGCTCAGTGTGTTAACCTCTCCAGCGTACTGACAACTCGTGAGCAATGCTCCCTCTAAGTTGTGCAGTCTTGTGAGCAAAAATTCTACTTTGTGAGCTGCTGGCATTCAAGCGGTGAGCGAGCCATTTAGCTACTGCATAACTTAGTTTGCTCTGGAGCCCTCCTTCCTAAGCTAGGACAAAAATGTGTGATCCGGAGGAGAAACAACTGTGAGCTAGGTCACACTAACTCAGCTTAGAGGGAACACTGCTCATGAGATACTTGTGTGTGATAAATTCAGGTGGGTAGCTACGTTGGTCTGAAGCAGCAGGACAAAGTTTGCATCCAGTGGTGCCTTTAAGAACCAACCAAGTTTAATTCTGGTTATAAGCTTTCGTGTGCAGTCACACACTTCTTCAGATACACTGAAACAAGACTTCCTCAACCTTTACATCTAGGGGGAGAGAGAGAGAGTAGGGTTAAGTGCCAAGTGAGAAATCGGCCCCAATGTGCATAAGTAACCGAGCAATAAGAATAGCTAAGACTGAATTAAAGCAGTTGGTAAGACCTGCGAATAGCAGCAAAATATTATTTCACTACACATGCTATACCCAGAATTAAAGGTGCCACTGGACTCAAACTTAGTTCTCGCATCTGTTTGTTAACTCTCTTATTATCTGTATGCTGATTTGCCGCTATTCACAGGTCTTACCAGCTGCTTTGATCCCGTTTTAGCTATAAGTGCATTCAGTGCAATTTTAGCTATAAGTGCACTAAGTGGCCATAAGTGCACTCGGGCCAGGCTTGAGGCCTGATGCCGATGCAGCAACCAGCGGACCCAACAAACAGTCTGTTTTCATTCATGTACTGATTGCAAACATAGACGTGCATTGCTATTGATGATACATGCTGTCCTTGTGGACTGTAGCCATTTTCACACCACATTCCATTTCCCTGGGGAGGGGTTATGTTAATCCGCCCGAGGTCTCCTCCTGCGTGACCAAAAGGAATAAACCACCTCTTGTGGTGACCTTGTGGCCAATAACAGACCAAAGGTTCACCAGGTGTTCTCCACCTGCCCAATCCAGACATTTCTGTCAGCCAATAGAATCCAAGCTGTCTGTTGGCGGCAACTGCAAAGGAATTGGTGATAGTGGTCCACATGGTGCCATTCTCGTAGTGTATTAATTGGTCCAGTCCTCTGAAATGCAGATTTATCTCTGACGTGTATCATTTGGCATTTGGTTAACAGGAGAAGTGTCTTCCAGACAAGTTCAGCATTGTCCGCTTGACACTTGACATTTCTACCCACGCGTGAAGGGTCTTGTGATGTAACTTTCCATCCTTAAAGGGATGCTTGCCACATTAAGGAAGGGGAAATGTATCCTTCCTTAATCTGTCACAAAACAGATTAACAAAAATTAAATATATATTATATATATATTAGGAGCCGTGTTGGCTCAGAGCTTAAGACACTGAGCTGCAGACTGGAAGGTCTGTAGGTCAGCAGTTCGAGACCCGAGTGCCGCGTGACGGAGCGAGCTCCTGTCTCTGGCCCCAGCTCCTGCCAACCTAGCAGTTCAAAAGCAAGAAATTGCAAGTAGATAAATAGGTACCGCTGTGGTGGGAAGGTAACAGCGTTCCGTGCACCTCGGCATCTAGTCATACCAGCCACCTGACCACGGAAACGTCTTCGGACAGGGCTGGCTCTTCGGCTTGGAAACGGAGATGAGCACCGCATCCCTAGAGTCGGATTCGACTATAAGCATTTCATTTTAAAATCTCCATCTGTCTGAGAGAACTAAGGGGACCAGTTGCAAAAGTCTACAGGGATCTGGCCATTCTTGTTTTCCTTCTCTGGGCAGTTAGCATGTACTCAGTAGATGGTCAGAAGGGGGGAGCCACTCTAAGTCTCAGTTCCCTGTCTGCAAAAGGGGAATTAAAAGAACCTACCAAACATTATCATGAAGAATGAGGTTGGCAACTTACATCCTCCCCCTTCCTGTCATCTCTTCAAGCGTCGTACTGATTGCCGACAAACGCTATCAAAAGAGGGATGCTGTCATCAGTTCGGTGCATACAAAAGTGAAAGGGGTGGCCCAGACCGAACAGAGAATCTACGACACAGCAGAATACACTGTCCCCATGCAGGTGAGTCTCTTTTTCCTGCCGCGTCACAAGTAGCCACTTTTTACTGTCTTGTTTAGAGTGTCTCTGCTTCCTTTCTTCCGTTATGGGCTTCAAGGGGGTATGCCCAGAAGGGTTCCCACAGCATCTCCTGTGCAGGTATTGATCAGAGCTACTTAGCTTCAGCAGGGTCTCTGTGCCTTTCAGCTGTATACTGTTGGACCCATCTGGATCCACAAAGCAGCTTATCAACAGAGTTATCCAGCAAAGCAAAAAAAAAAAAAAAAGGTCAAATGTTGAAATTAAGCAAGGTCCAGGAGGTCAGCTGTGTTGGTCAGGAGCAGTAGAACAAATTTAGAGTCCAGTCAGGCACCTTTAAGACCAACAAAGGTTTATTCAAGCTTTCGTGTGCCAGGCACGCTTTTTCAAATAAAACAGCTTAAAACATCTTCATCATGTTGCCTGTTAAATTGCTGTTCAGCCTCTGTCTATAAGTTTGAACTCTACCTTCCACGATTTGAAGAAATGATCTTCCACGGCAGGGGTGTCAAACATGCAGCCCGGGGGCTGGATCAGGCCCCCGGAGGGCTTCCATCAGGCCCACAGTGGAACCGGCCATCTCCTGCTTCCAGTTCTGCTGCTGCTGCTGCAGCATCATAGTTTGCTTCGCCAGACTCTCTCAATCACTCAGCCATTTCATGTTTTGACCTGGGTCCTGGACTCATGAGATTTCTGTGGTGAATGTCAATAAATCAAAAGTAGGTTTGCAGCTTACAGAGCTAATGTTTTTTATTTTAAGTAAAAAAAATCTCTGTGTTTGTGTCCTTTATAAAGTTTATATCTCCGCTACCTGGCATTACATTTTATGACACACATGACCCAGCCAACAAGGCCTCATTTATGTCAGATCCTCATAACAAATAAGTTCGACACCCCTGTTCTAGGGTATTAACTGTATTAAACTCATTCTCTTCCCGCTCTGTCTTTTGTCTCTCCTCCCCATCCACCCATGTAGGGAATAGATTCCTTCTTTGTGGTAACGAACATCATCATGACCGAAAACCAAATCCAGGGACTTTGCCCTGAGGTAACTGCATTTTTGCAAGCCATCTTATCCTTTGTGTAAAGACAAACTAACTCTTTGGAAACAGTCCTCATCAGCAGAAGATTTTTAATTAGTGTCTTATCACTGTGGGGATTCTACGCAAGTGAACCTTGAGTCATCTTTTCCCAGTTTCTTTATGTAACTGGGTAAAATGTGGACAAGTAAGGACTTGTGCAGCCATCTTTCCCTGCAGCCTTTGTTCATCTTGAATCTTCTGGCTCTGGCGACTGGTGAGATGCATCCAGTGCCGTGCCTAATTCCACACGTCTGCATGCTTGTGGAACAAAACTGTCCATCTAGTGATTGGTGTAGGCTTCAGTAGCTATAGAATCCCTACTTTCCTTTTATTTTTTTAAATAAATCAAGGTTCTAAATTTTTATGTGGTATCCGGTCCGAGACAACATGGGGTGGTGTTATGTACTGAGCCTAAGCCTTTCCTCTAGCTGTGCCTAGAACGGGCTGAGCTTGCTTCTCCAGAACAATAGCTCGCCTGGATCCAGGAACTAACCGATAGATAAGCAGTGTAATGTAAATAGCCATTCACTGGGAGTGTGTGTGTGTTGGGTGTGGCGTTTTGCATGCTTATAAGCAGGGCTCCAGCCCTGCTAGTTTTGTCATGTAGTTTGCTGAAATCACTGAATAAACTAGGGCTGATCACTGCAATGCATCTAGAACCCAGCAGGGGTCATTTCGTGGAAAAAGAGGTGCAGGAGCTAATTAGCATAACTCATTAGCATAACTTATTTGTGTATGCCACACCCCCTAACATCACCGGAAGAATGTCAGAAAGCAACACCCACCACTCAGGCTCCACTGAACTGTTTTGGATTGCTAGCTATTGGGGGGAGGAACGTGCAGATCTATCCTCACAGAGGAGGGAGAGCTTGTACCTGAATAAAACTTGATCTTAAAGGTGCCACTGGACTGTTTTGGACCGGGGGGGCGGGGGAGGGGGCTCTGCAGCTTACCTGGCTGCTTCTTGCTCTGACTGAGGGCTGCTGGGAGCAGGGGGCGGGCCTTGTTGCATGTGCCCGCCCCCTGGGCTCTTTACTGCCGGAGCTCCGCTCCTGTGCGCTCCTGCAGGAAATGACCCCTGGAACCCAGTATTTAATAGGTGGCATCTTCTGGAATGTCAGAAACTGGGATGAGAAAGACCTCCTATTTTGCACCCTTCTTTGCCTTCTCCCTTGGCTGAACAGACCACCTGTCCCCAATGTCTGTCCTTTCAAAGAGTACAGGAACATGAGGACTGCCTTGCTGGATCAGATCCAAGGCCCCTCTCCCTTGTCCATTCAGCGCTCTGCTTACACAAGAAAGTGAAGCATCTTGTCCTCCCTTTAATGTGCTTCAGTCAATCATCCACCTTGTTCCTTCCACGGCAATGTGTCAGCAGTATTCTCCGTACACCCTGACCTGGATAGCCCAGACAAGCCCGATCTCGTCATATCTCAGAAGCTAAGACGGGCCAACCCTGGCAAGTACTTGGAAGGGAGACCTCCAAGGAATACCAGGGCTCAGGATGCAGAGGCAGGCAATAGGAAGCCACCTCTGAAAACATTGTAGCCCCACTGGGGGTTGCCAGAAGTCAACATGGCTTTCAGGCTCGCAAGCACATACAGACACACACACCCAAATACGACTCCCCCAACCCCCCAATATTCTCCATACTTGGCCAGGGTGGACTGGCCATCTAAGTTAGAGAGAAATTTCCCAGTGGGTTGCCACTGTAGCAGGCGGCTGGTGGCCTCAAGCCAGCAGAGCCAAGCCCTACCTGCTCTGCCAATGACTTGGGGACTACTTGTCTGAGACCTTTTCACCACAACACTTGGTGTCAGTCCACAAATTGTTTCCTCAAGTGCAGGGGCCAGTTAGTTGGAGAAGGCAGTAGGTGAGCTCAGAGATCATTTCCTGCGGGAGCACACTGGAGTGGAGCTCCGGCAATAAGGAGCCCAGGAGGCAGGCACATGCAACAAGCCCCGTCCCCTGCTCCCAGCAGCCCTCAGTTGGCCCACGAGGAGCAAGAAGCAGCCAGGTAAGTTGCAGAGCCCCCCCCCCCCCAGCCTTCATGTACAAGCTCTCCCTCCTCTTTGGGGGCAGATCTGCGCGTCCCCCCCGTAGCTAGCAATCCAAAACAGTCCAGTGGAGCCTGAGCGGTGGGTGTTGCCTTTTTACACACTTCCGGCGATGTCAGGGGGTGTGGCATATGCAAATAAGTTATGCTAATGAGCTCCTGCACCTCTTTTCTACGAAATGACCCCTGGGTGAGCTAATGCCCATGACTGGCCCCATACTGCTGAGCAGCACGGTCTTGTAGCTCCACAGGGGCCCACTCAAGGGCCGTTTTCACTTTCCTGTCCTCTCCTGGTCTTGGCCCACTGGAAGGTAGGTGAGGGGAGATGGAAGCCTGAACTAAAACATCTTCCAAAGCTCGATATTCATGCGTATGTTAGTAGACTGACCTTCCCGTCCCTCTCTTCTGCTTAGTTTCCCATCGCCAAAGCGGTTTGCTCTACCGACAGGAGCTGTGCAAAAGGCCGTATGGACCCCCAGAGTAACGGTAAGTGGATTTTATCTTGTAAATCAGAGGTTCCCAAACTTATTTGGCCTACCACCCCCTTTTCAGAAAAAAAATTACTCATCCCCCCCTGGAAATCTACCTTCAAGAAGTGGACAAAAAGGTTGAACAGAAAAAAGCCCACAGGAAAAAAGCCCACAGAGAAAACCCCACAGTCATAAATGCTCACAGGAAAAAAGCCCACGTGGAAAAATGCCCACATGGAAATAAGCCCACATGGAAAAAAGCTCATACACATAAAAGCCCACACGGAAAAATACCATGTAAAACGCCATAGATATTTATAATGGTGGATAAACATTCATCTCCACCTGTGGGAATGAACAGGTATTACCTATCTTATATATATAATTCTCTTGATGTATTGGCCATTTCCAGCTCTCCCACTGGCTGTGCAGTGAGTCCACCACAATCCACTTGTAGCGTCCACCACGATCCACGCAGCCAGGCAGGCCAAGACAGGCCCAGAGCAGCAGCAGCAGCAGCTGAAGGCCTGAAGCCAGAGGCCAGCAGCAGCCACCACAAAATAGCCCAGCAGCAACACCAGCCTTACAAGGGTGCACATGCATTTGCAATTTGTAAATGCATGGCTGTGATTGGCTGTGGGCACCCCTCTCCACCACCACCTCCCTCCCTGATCCCAGGGAAGACCGGGAGAAAGCAGGAAAAAGCTGCTTTAGATAGGTTCTGGACTCTTCTTTCTTTATGCTTTCACCACCCCCTTATTTTTATTCAACGCCCCCCAATTGCACCCAAGGCCCCTACCGTCCACCTGGATCGTTCCAGCGCCCCCCAGGGGGCGGTATTGCGCACTTTGGGAATCAATGTTGTAAATGCTTTGAAGGAGTTTCCTCTTCTATTGCATCTCTGAGTGACAAAGCAAACTGCCCACCATGCATGATCTTCCACCCGCAGTCTTCAGCCACAGGGGAAAGTGAGGCGAACAGACTTGAGCAGTGCCCCCAAATGAACAGAGCCTGAGCCCTAGAAGAGCCCTCCCATGGTATTTCCCCCCAGCATCTAGTATTCAAACATATACTTCTCTGGTACATTGAAGCTCCATTTAACAGTGAAGATGCCATTACACTAGTAGAGGTAATGGGGTGCGGTGGACTAGGACCGGGGTGAGACAGGCAGTGCTCCCTCTAAACTGTGGAGTCTTGTGAGCAAAAATTCTCCTTTGTGAGCTACCGGCATTAAAGTTGTGAGCGAGCGATTTGGCCACTGCATAAATTAGTTTGCTCTGGAGCCATCCCTTCCTGAGCTAAAGCAAAAATTGTGTGAGCTGGAGGCTAAAGAACTGTGAGCTAGCTCACACGAACTCAGCTTAGAGGGAACACTGGAGACCGGCCCCAGCCACGATGCTCACAAAGTGATCTTGGGCCAGTCAGTTTCTTTCAGCCTGGCCCTACCACACAGGGTCACCGTGAGGGTAAAGCAAAGGAGGAGAAAACCATTTACTTACATTATTCATAGTCCACCTTTCTCACTTGGACTCAAGGTAGATTATACAGAGTGAGTCAATACAATCAACGGATGGCACATTCAGTGAACAGTGCAGTACGATTAGGGTTTTACAACCAACCAGAAGTCTAAGAGAAAGAACCGAAGCAAAGTGTAAGTATCAGTATGACACATTAAATGATCCAACATTCCATAGTGGGATCCCAGTTTCAACGACCACAGTCCCTAATAATTTTTCTAAATAAGCTTGTGAATCATTTAGTGCAGTGCAAGTCTATTAAAGTAAAATTAAAGGTTCCCTTGCTCGAAAGCCAGTCGAATCCGACTCTAGGGTTGCGGTGCTCATCTCCGTTTCCAAGCCGAAGAGCCAGCACTGTCCGAAGACGTTTCCGTGGTCATGTGGCTGGCATGACTAAACACCAAGGCGCACGGAACGCTGTCCCCTTCCCACCGAAGTGGTACCTCTTTATCTACTTGCAATTTCTTGCTTTCGAACTGCTAGGTTGGCAGGAGCTGGAACTAGAGATGGGAGATCACTCCATCATGCGGCACCCAGGTCTCGAACTGCTGAACTACTGACCTTCCACAGCCTGCAGTTCAGCGTCTATTGCCTGTGTAGAAAAGCCCTCTTGAATAACTGGGCTCCTTGGAGGAAAACTGAGATTAAAAATATGCTAAATTAATATACTGAGTGAAAGCTCCATTATTCTCTTGGTCATGGAATTGACTTTTACAGATATATTGCCTATTAGCAAGTGGGGAATCTTGGGACATTTTAAGGATTAACAGAATTTGGCTCTGGCATAAGGTTCGTGTGTGATAGTTTACTGAAAGAATGGGGTGGCCACTGGCCAGGCAGTCGATCTTATCCAGCCTATAGGGTAATGAAATTTCTGCTTCTTCTAGTGGGAATAAACCAGACAAACCCCAAGACCGTGTCCCTTGAATAAAAGCTGTGTTCTCCTCCTTACAGGAATTCAGACAGGCAGATGTGTGAAGTATAATGCCACCGTTAAGACGTGCGAGGTCACGGCCTGGTGTCCGGTAGAGTCCATCAAAAGCACTCCAAAGTAAGGCCTTTTTGTTTACTTTTCATAAACGAACTATCACTCACTGTTCTTTTTTTAATACTCTACATGTTGATCACTCACACTGTCCCAGGCCTGGTGAGAACAGGAGGCCTATCGGATGTTACCAGGGGTCATCTCGTAGAAAAAGAGGTGCAGGAGCTCATTAGCACAACTCATTAGCATAACTTATTTGCATATGCCACGCCCCCTGACATCACCGGAACTGTGTCAGAAGGCAACACCCACCACTCAGGATCCACTGGACAGTATTAGATTGGTAGCTCTTGGGGAGGGGGGGAAGGAACATATAGATCTGCCCTCGCAGAGGAGGGAGAGCTTGTACCTGAATAAACCTTGGTCTTAAAGGTGCCACTGGACTATTTTGGACCAGGGGGGCTCTGCAACTTACCTGGCTGCTTCTTGCTCTGACTGAGGGCTGCTGGGAGCAGGGGGTGGGGCTTGTTGCATGTGCCCGCCCCCTGGGCTCTTTACTGCCGGAGCTCCGCTCCTGTGCACTCCTGCAGGAAATGACCCCTGGATGTCACTAGATCTCCAGTAATAGCTGCAAATCCCATCAACAGTTCCTGGGAACAACCCATTCCCTGCTTCCAAATGTGTCAGCTTTAGATGGTGTGTGCCTGGATTTCCTTCCCTTTCTTTTTGCAGAATCACAGAGCGAGGGAGGGAGGGAGGAGTTGGGGTCTGCAGTTAAAAGTTTTAATTGTGGCAAGACAATTGTGTAAATAATTTTAAAAACCTGTGGATGCCACCCACACAACATCACGTGAGGTTTCCATATTAATTAGGCCAAAAAAAGTGGGTTTTGCTTGTAGACGCAGAGTGCATAGAGAATACACAAATAAATAAAATGGGTGAGGGGGAACCAGTGCAGAGGGAATGTGTGTGACTGCAGAATCAACCCTTAAGGCTTGACTCCTCGGATTCTCTGGAGCAAGCGGTCCGTGCAGAAAGGGTCAGAGTTATACATGTCATGGCTTTTCCAATGCTCTGTCGGTCCCTATTTTCTGGAACCTGTTTGTCACGGGTCCTGGCTCCGCTGAGGCTGACTATTCCTCAGATGGGGAAGAGGCACGGAGCAACCCAGCCTCCTCTGGAGTCAGCTCAGAAGAGGAACCTTTACCAGCACCTGAGGGAGAAGAGGCCCCAGCATCTGCGCAGGAGGGGTAGCAAGGCGAAGAGCCTGAGGTGCAGTCGGAGGGAGAGCCCGGTCCAGAGCCTGGCCCAGCACACCCAGTGGGAGACACCTCGAGGCCAGAGTCCCCACCTGGCTCACCCGAATGTCCCAGGTGCAGGGCACGCCAGCGTCTGAATGTGCAAGAGAGAAGGAGGAGTGCCAGACTCCTGCTGCTGCAAAGGCAACCTGAGGGGCTTTGAGTCTTTGCAGATTCCCTCCCAGGGAAGGGAGGCTCCGTCATAAGCAACCACGCTCACCTGCCTCAGTGCGGATGCAACCGTGCGATCTCGGACCTTGTCCCGGCTGCCAGCCTCCGTTCCTTGCTCCCGAAAACTCAGACTGATTTCCTGGCATTCTGACCCTCGTCTCTGTTTCTCGGCTTGCTTTTGGACTGCGCATCCAGCTTTCAGTGAAGTGTATCCTTGGCCAGACCCAGAACTCTGTTCCTGGAAAATCATGGTATCAACTTTGTCCCCTTTGGGAGATGCTTTGTTAATGTCTTTAGTATTAGCATTGAAATCACGGTTGCCGACCTCCAGGTGGACCCTGGAAATCTCCTGGAATTATAATGGATATCCAGACTACAGAGATTAGTTCTCCAGGAGCCAGCGTGGTGTAGTGGTTAAAGTGTCAGCCTAGGGTCTGGGAAACCCAGGTTCAAATCCCCACTCTGCCATGGACGCTTGCTGGGTGACCTTGGGCCAGTCACACACTCTCAGCCTAACCTACCTCCCAGGGTTGTTGTGAGGATAAAACGGAAGGAAGGAGAGCGATGTAAATCGCTTTGGGTCCCCCTTTGGGGAGAAAGGCAGGATACAAATAAATGAAATACAAAACAAACAAGGGACAAACTGGCTGCTTTGGAGGGTGGATTTTATGGCATTATACCCCTCTGAGCTCCTGTCCTTCCCCTCCCTAAACCCCACCCTCCATAGGCTCCACCCCCAAATCTCCAGGGATTTCCCAACCTGTAGTTGGCAAGCCTAGTTGTAGTTCTCGAGGGTTCAGTTTCCAGCATCAAAGCCTCTAGAACAGCAGTCTCCCACAGCCCTTTGTGACTGCTGCCCACCATTCTGTCTCCTGGTGCCCACTTGCTTCTAGAAATTGGCATGGGGGAGCAAATCCAACGGTTCTCTAATGCAGCAAAAAGCTGAGGAGCTTCAGGTCACTGCTTCCCAGCTGATGGCCTAGCAAAGCACGGAATTAATTCCAGGCAGGCGTATTACAGCTTTATGCCTTTGGCTCGGACACAGACACAGACTTGTTTATGTATTTGGGATTGGCAGCTTTATCCCCGAGACTGTGCAGAAAGCCAACTGTCCCCTTTCTTTGGAAACAGAAACCCGACAGTGTTCTTCCTCCCCAGAGCAAAGAGCCAGTTCTCTCCACACACACACTCCCCCCATAGCAGCCGTTTTGTGGTGGCACCGTCTAGCCTTTCTCTAAATTCCAAAAGTGCCCTCAGGCTCAACAATGTTGGGGACCCCTGCTCAAGAAAGCATGCCGGTGAATCCATCTGGACTCGAGTGCCGATGCAAGTAGATGCATGCACCAGAACACTTAACGGCACCAGCGCGGTTCACCGCCTGCCATTTCGCACTGGAAATGCTGGGGCGTGTCTTCAGTGGTCGAAAATGCTTTGCAGGAACATTATGCTTTTACTGGTGTATCATTAGTCCAAGAACCGTCAGACCCTGGGCTTTTAAAACAGTGGTGGAAAAACCATTATGGAATGCACATGACGTATGCAGCGCACAGCAGGTGGGGAAGACACTTCAGTAATGTGGAGTGGAGGGGAAAGGGCTCCTGATCCTTGGTGTGGGATTAGGTGTGTTACAAGTGTGGTGTATTCAATTCAATATAAACTGACCGTGAATTCACTCATTGGGACACCATGCAAAGCATCGTCCTGGGCAAGGATCCTAATTCCTCAATTCCTATTGGTAGCCCAGGTAGAGCCGACCAATCACCTAACATCCAGTTCCCGGATAGGGAACGTCAGTGATTGGACTATATCTTTACAATCCTATTGGTTTCAATGTACAGTAGGGTGTGGCTACAGTAGCCCGGGATAGTTTAAGAGAAGCCCAGCTACTATGCAAATATTGTTCTGGTAGTTCTGTTTCAAGTTGTGTTAAGCGTTGCTCATTAAAAGCTGAAATCATTCTCTGACTCTTTGTTAAGTAGCCGACTTAACAACAAGCACGTCCCTGTTTCCACCTGTGAAATGTTGGAGGGCACAGCCTTTCCAGCTAACCCTTGAATTTTGTGATGTGCCGTTGCAACCTTAAACAAGAAGGAACTTGTCTGAAATCCTTCTCCTTCTAGGCCTGCTATTCTGAGGAGTGCTGAAAATTTCACCGTCCTCATCAAAAACAACATCCACTTCCCCAGATTTAATTATACAACGTAAGTACAAAACGTTCTGGAACTTTGAAACAGGACTGGTGTTTTTTTTTAAAAAAAGGGTACAATAATATTGTGACAAAAAAGGGTGCCCCTGGCCATTCCACTCACGCCAGTGGCTTGACGTTCCGTAGACAGCCCTTGCATGGGGCTGACTTCTTTGTAACGAGAGAAAGCATCGGAGACTTGTGGTTTCTTTCTTTCTTTTTTAATATATCTTTATTATTTTCCAGTTCAACAGAACAAACAAATCCAAACAAAACAAACAAAACAGGGATCCTTCTCCTATTACAACTTGAATTCCAATCAAGATGGTTCATATATTCTCAGCTACATCCATAATTTTAGATATAAAGTCTCACCTGCAAGGAAGTTCTTCTCTTTTCCAGAATTTTGCCAATAAGATCCTTGCTGCAGTTAGTAAGTGTAACACCAAATATTTTTGAGATTTCTGCAAATTATCAGGTAGAATATTAAGTAGGAAAATTTGAGGATCCAAGGGAATCTGTAAATTGGTTATTTGGGATATTATCATATGGATCGGCTTCCAATATTTTTTAGTTTCAGTACATGTCCACCAAGCATGGTAGAAGGAGCCCACTTTAAACTTACATTTCCAACATATTTTAGAAAAAGAGGGGTAAATTCGTGCCAGTCTGTCAGGTGTTAAATACCAACGATGAAACATTTTGAATACATTTTCTTTAGGCTTGCCAAGTCCCCCTGGGGGGCTGGGAAATCCCCGCCCAAGAGGCCCGTTACCCACCGCCGGCGGATCTGGCCCCAGGGGGAACCCTACCCCCAAAGCACGCGACGTGCCCGGTGTCAGCACGTCACCCGGAAGTGACGCAGTCACGTTGGGGGCGGGGCTGTGGTCATCCGAGGGAAATCTATGGTTTTCCCTCGGATGATTGTGGCCCCGCCCCCGGCGTGCCCGACGTGGTTCCGGGTGACGTGGTTGCGGCACGTGCACTTTGCGCGCACTCCCGGAACAAACAGCGGGGACTTGGCAACCCTAATTTTCAAATCTTTCATATTTAACCAGACCTTCTCCCACACTTATTCAGTTCCATAGAGTGTCCTATATTCCTGGCCCATGCTATCATCGGTACTTTTACAGTCTCATCTTACATCTTATAATCTAACAAAAGAGAGTATATTTTTCGAATCAGTTTACTTTCAGGGCCAGTCAGCAGTTTATCAAGTTCCGACATTTTTGGGGTAAAACCTGTTTGTTTATCTCTGGAATACCTAGAGACTTGTGGTTTCTTTACAGTCTGTTTATAGTTAATTCATGTCATGATATTCCCCATTACTCGGTACGGGTGTGAATGTTGGACAATGAAGAAAGCGGACAGGAAGTTGAGTCATTTGAAATGTGGTGGTGGAGGAAAGTTTTACGGATCCTGTGACAAGCCAAAAAGACAAATAAATGAGTTCTTGATCAGACCAAGCCTGAACTCTCCCTAAAAGCTAAAATGACTAAATTGAAGCTATCATACTTTGGTCACATGACAAGAGTCACTAGAAAAGACAATAATGCTAGGTAAAGTTGGAGGCAGCAGAGGAAGACCCCCAACATGAGACAGGTTGACTCGATACAGGAAGCCACGACCCTCCGTTTGCAAGGCCTGAGCAAGGCTGTTCACAATAGGACATTTTGGAGGCCATTCATTCATAGGGACTCCATGAGTTGGAAGCGACTTGAGGACCCTTCACACCCACACGCCCACACAAATGAGCAGCGGCTTGCTTTAGGAGCCTAAACAGGTAATACAACTGCTCAGGGCTTTTTTTTGTAGAAAAAGCCCAGCAGGAACTCATTAGCATAATAGGCCATACCCAACAGCAGGAACTCATTAGCATATTAGGCCACACCCTGACAGCACAGCTCATTTGGTTATTAGGCCACACCCCCATGTTACCAGAAGTGTGGTCATCCAGCCACACCCACCTTTTGCTTCTTATTCTCTTTACCTTGTTTGTGGTCAAAACCCATGGCTTTTTGCATGTTAGGCCACACACCCCGAATTGTAGCCAATCCTAATGAGTTTCTGCTGTTGGGTATGGCCTATTATACTAATGAGTTCCTGCTGGGCGTGGCCAACTTGGGAGCCAGCCGGAACTCCGTTCCTGTGCGTTCCTGCCCAAAAATAGCCCTGTAAACTGCTGATCCTGAGCCAGATTCCAAGAAAGATCTCTGGCACTGTCTATTGAAATTCAAACAACTTGAAGATGTCTCTGCTTTCCCCCAAGTGGTTAGGAGTGCAGACTCTAATCTGGGAGAACCGGATTCCCCACTCCTCCACATGCCGCTGCTGGTGTGACCTTGGGTCAGTCACAAGTTCTCTCAGAGCTGTTCTGGAAAGAGCAGTTCTCGAAAAAGCTCCCTCAGCCCCACCTATCTCACAGGGTGTCTGTTGTGGGGAGGGGAAGGGAAAGGAGACTGTAAGCTGAGACACCTTCGGATAGTGTAAAAAGGTAAAGGTAAAGGTTCCCTTGCTCGAAAGCCAGTCGAATCCGACTCTAGGGTTGCGGTGCTCATCTCCGTTTCAAAGCCGAAGAGCCAGTGCTGTCCAAAGACGTTTCCGTGGTCATGTGGCCGGCATGACTAAACACCAAGGTGCACGGAACGCTGTTACCTTCCCACTGAAGTGGTCCCTATTTATCTACTTGCAATTTCTTGCTTTCGAACTGCTAGGTTGGCAGGAGCTGGAACTAGAGACAGGAGCTCACCCCGTCTTGCGGCACCCGGGTCTTGAACTGCTGAACTACTGACTTTCCACAGCCTGCAGTTCAGCGTCTTAACCACTTGAGCCACCGCAGCTCCTTAATAGTGTAGAGTGGGATATAAATTCAATCTGTTCTTCTTCTTTATTTGGCATGATATTCCAAAGAGGGGAGAGACAGTTCCCCCCTTTAAAGGCTTTGACTTTTATTGCCCACCAGCTTATGCAAAAACAGTAATCCTCTAGGAGTGTCTAGTAACTGAGTGCAGAAACAAAATTAAGAGATGGTTTTCCAGTTGTTTTTAATTTTTTTTGAAATGCTGAAGGAATCCATAGAGATAGAAAAAGGAAATATGGAGTGTTTGTTTTTTTAAAAAACAATTTGCTTCAAGAAAATATAACATTTTATACAATTTAGTTTTGTATTACTTGTTGAATTAAAAACTTTTTTTTTTGGGGGGGGGTGTCCCTGCAGAAGAAACATTTCACCAGAATTCAATATCTCCTGCACGTACAACAAAATCTCTGCTCCGTATTGCCCCATCTTCCGCCTGGGAGATATTCTCCAAGAAGCAGGAGAAATTTTTTCAGAGGTGGCCATTCAGGTAGGTGACATTTCTCCTTAAAAAAAAACAAAACACAATACTCGTGAGTGCTCTGTGGTTCCTAGCAGCTGAATTCTAAAATGTGAATGTAACTTGTTTCTCTCAAAAAGGTATTTGACTACTTACTGGTTTTCCAGGCAGGAGTTCTGTAGCATCTTGAAGATAAGCCCGTCTTTATTTTAGCATAAGCATTTTTAGTCTAGAGGCTACTTTGTCAGATGTTCCGTGGATTGTAGTCCACAGAAGCTTACACTAGAATAAAACGCTGTTAGTCTTGGAGGTGCTTCATAAGGTTGCCATCCTCCAGGTGGCGGCTGGATATCTCCTGGGATTACAATTGATCTCCTGCTGACGCATATCAGTTCACCTGAAGAAAATGGCCACTTTGGAAGGTGGTCTCTATGGCATTATATCCCACTGAATTTCCCCCCTCTGCAAACCCTGCCTTCCTCATCAGGGTTGCCAGCCTCCAGGTGGGGCCTGGAGATCTCCCGCTGGCAGAGATCAGCTCCCCTGGAGAAAATGGCTGCTTTGAATGGTTATGGCCTTGTACTATGCCGAGGCCCCTCCCCACCACAAACCCCGCCCTCTCCTGGATCCACCCCCAAAGTCTCCAGGTCTTTTCCAACCTGGACCTGGCAACCCTATTCCTCAGGCTCCACCCTGCCAAATCTGCAGGTATTTCCCAACCAGGAGCGGCAGGGCTGGCTCACCCGCTAGGTGAACTAGGCATTCGCCTTGGGCGCCGGGCCCTGGATGGGGCGGGTGGCAGGCACTGGATGGGGCGCCGAAGTTTGCCTCCCCCCTCCAAAAGCCTGCACGCTGCCTAAGTGCGCCGCCAAAGTTTGCCTCCACCCTGCTCTGCTGCCAAAGCAGCCGCGTCCCCAGCCAGCCAGCCCCGCGTCCCCCGTGCCCGAGCCCTGCATGGGGTGCTGAACTGCACCTCCCCCCTTGTCCTCCACGCCCTCCGTCTGGGCTCTGCCTAGGGAGCTGCTCGATGGAGTCCTCTCCGCTGCCACCTCCTCCGGCCAACCCGCTCAGCCTCCTCTTCCCGGTTCCACGGCATCCTTTCCCCACCAGGACAGCAGCCCCCGCAGGCTCCGGAGATCTGCAGGGCCGCTGGGGGGGGGAGTTTCCAGCCCTCTCCTTCCTGACCTCAGCCTTCTCCCCCAGGCTCGTTGGCCGCTCTCTCGCTGCTCCCCTCCCTCCTGGGGGCCCTCCAGAGAGCCCTCTCCCCGCGCCTGGCCTTGAGCTGCAGATGGAGGTGCCGGATGCGTGGGCGGCGGCGCTGCTGCGTTTGGCTGGGCCCGGCCGTTGATGGGAGGCAGCCGAGGGTCACCATCCGCCGTGGCGCTCTGCAGCTGTTCCGGGCTGGCCAGGTCTTGGGCCACCTCTGCCGGGCGGAGGCTCGCCGGCAGGATGCAGAAGCAGCCAAGGGGAGCCGGTGGCGGATGAGTGAGTGAGAGAGGCAGCGACCGGGACGGGGAGGGTGTGGGAAGGCTGGCTGACCGACCACGGGCCAGCTGTGTCTCTGCCAGTTTGGTGTAGTGGTTAAGTGCACGGACTCTAATCTAGGAGAACCGGGTTTGATTCCCCACGCCTCCACTTGCAGCTGCTGGATGACCTTGGGCAACCCATAGTTCTATCAGAGCTGTTCTCTCAAGGACAGTTCTAGAAAGAGCTCTCTCAGCCCCACCTACCTCACAGGGTGTTTGTTGTGGGGAGGGGAAGGGAAAGGAGTTTGTAACCCACTCTGAGACTCCGAGTGAGGGGCGGGGTATAAATCTAATCTCATCTCATCATTCTTCTACTGGGAAATTCATACAGAACGGACCAATTGGTATCAATGTCAGTGTGCCAGCTCTCACATCTTGTTGGTGAAACCCCACTCCCCCCTTTTTTTAAGCAATTGTACCTCTTGCTGTCTCATTCAAGGGAGGCATTGTGGGTATCGAGATCAACTGGGATTGCAACCTGGACCGATGGCTCCATCGCTGTAGCCCCAAGTATGGCTTCCGGCGTCTGGATGACAAAAAAGCCAGTGAGGCCTTATACCCTGGCTACAACTTCAGGTAGGGATGTCATTGAACCTCCTGCCACCGGGAACGTCTACTTACCCATATGGCAGACACACCACAATTACAAATCCGGGACAGGAGGAAATGGATGCACCCGCTGTGTGTAGCTTTATTAATTTTTCCCTCCAGTGTGCAACAGAGTTTGGAAAAGTCTGCTCAGGAGACTATGGCAATGCAACACAGTCTGTTCTGAATTAGATCAAGATGGGTTGCCGCAAGGCTCTTTTTGTAGAAAAAGCCCAGCAGGAACTCATTAGCATAATAGGCCACACCCAACAGCAGAACTCATCAGCATATTAGACCACACCCCTAACAGCACAGCTCATTAGCACATTAGGCCGCACCCCTATGTTACCAGAAGTGTGGTCATCCAGCCACACCCACCTTTTGCTGCTTCTTCTGTTTACCTTGTTTGTTGTCAAAACACAGGGCTTTTTTGTAGCAAGAACTCCTTTGCATGTTAGGCCACACACCCCTAATGAAGCCAATCCTAATGAGTTTCTGCTGTTGAGTGTGGCCTGTTATGCTAATGAGTTCCTGCTGGGCGTGGCCAACTCGGGAGCCAGCCGGAACTCTGTTCCTGTGTGTCCCCGCCCAAAAATAGCCCTGGTTGCCGTGTTAATTTTTTTGGTAGCAGTAGAAAAGAGCAAGAGTCCAGGAGCGCCTTCAAGACTAACAACCTTTGTGGCAGGGGACGAGCTTCCGTGAGTCACTACTCACTTCTTCAGGTACAGCTAGAAAGTGAGTCTGTCTGAAATCACTGCACTCTCCAAGATAGAAGGACAGATGGACTCACATTCTAGCTGTATCCGAAGAAGTGAGCGGTGACTCACAAAAGCTCACACCCTGCCACAAATTTAGTTTGTCTTTAAGGTGCTACTGGACTCTTGCTCTTTTCTACTGTTCTGGATTTAATGATAACATGTAGCATAAGAACATAACAGCAGCCATGTTGGATCAAACCAATGCCCATCTAGTCCAGCGTCTTGTTTCCAACTGTGGTCAGTCATATACCCCAGGGAAGCCCATAGTTACCTATTTGCTCCTAATATCTGCCAGTCAGAGGCATTCCATCCCTGACCCTGGACGTCTCATTCGACCATCATGGCTAATAGTCAGTGATAGACTTCCATACATTTGTCCAACCGCTTTTGAATACATCCAAGCCAGTGGCCATCAGCACATCTTGTAGTGGTGAGTTCCACAAGTCAATTGTGTGAATCAGTACTTCCTGTTATAAATCACTGGGGAAAGTCTGGGGGGGGGGGAAAGCTCACAGTATGAGGTGCTTTAGCTATGGCTGCTTATAGTTTACTTCTGTAAATCGCCCGAGACTGATGGGGGTGCGGCGGGGGGGGGGGGGTGTCGGGGTCTGGCCCTTCCAAAAATTTTCCCAGGGAGGACTCAGCCTCCCCCGGGTGAAAAGGCACTCTGAAAAGGATGGACCTGCCAGCTGCTGGCTTTAAAAGGTGGGAAACCCTTGCAGGGCTTTCCTTGTTTTCCCCACACCCCGTTTAGAAGCAGGGGGAAGTGAAAGGGAGCCCAGCCCCAGCCCCCCCCCCCCGAAAATTGGAAAGTCTACCCCCTTGCACAAAATCCCCCCTCAGTCTGTTCCATCGTAGAAAAAAAAGTACTACTTGACACAATTCATAATTATGGGGCTCGCTGCCAAAAGGAACAGTGATGGTCTAAAACCAAGACAAAATTTTAAAATATTTTACAGGGCCATAGCCAGGATCTTGTAATTCAGGGAGGCCCTTAAATAAGTTGGGGGGGGGGCAGTGACGTCACAAAATAAAAAAATAAAATAAAAAACAAAATTTTTAAAACTCACTTTTGCAGCGGTCACGGTCTGCTTGTCTATGCAGGGAAGCAAGCTGCGCTTGGGGAAGGGGTGGTGGTGGAGAGTCCTCCAGGTGGCCCAGAGAATTGGGGGACCTTGGCACTGCACAGAAGTCAGGGGGCCTTGGCAGGAAGTCAGGGGGCCAGGCCCCGAAATGCCCCACTGTAGCTACGGGTGATGTTTTACACAAAGTGCATGAACCATATAGACCCATGAACAGTTTGACTGTGAAATATTACTGTAAGCTGCCTTGTAAGTTGCCTTGAACCACAAGGAAAGGCAGGGAATACGTGATTTAATAAATACATAAATAAACAGAACTTCTGTGTATGGAGACAATGTACCGCTGTGTTCCAGAAGCTGGGTCAAACTGAGCAGGATAACTCTTGCCATTGTATTGTGCTCGTGAACTTTTGGCATTTGGCTGGCCACTGAATACTGGGCTACACTGAATTGCGGTCTTTTCCAGCAAGGGCACGTGGCCCCTCCCCAGAGTTCATCCTGCAATAAATACAAGTCTAGCATCGATCTGAAATACATGCACATTTGCCCTATTTGCATAATTAGTTCAGGTCACCAATCGGCCACAGAGTTTTATGGGCTTTTGATCATTACAGCTTGGATATGCTCAGAAAACTGCATCATTTTGGTAATCTTGAAAAACAGTGAAACTAGAAGCATTTGCCGATTTCTGTCATCGAGGACCATGATGCTGTAGCAGTTGAAGACATCCTCAGTCACTCCCAACCAATGCTCCCTCTAAGCTGTGGAGTCTTGGGAGCAAAGATTCTACTTTGCGAGCTACTGGCGTTAAAGCTGTGTGCAAGCGATTTGGCTGCTGCATAAAATAGTTTGCTCTGGAGCCCTCCTTCCTGAGCGAAGACGAAAATGTGCGAGCCAGAGGCTAAAACACTGTGAGCTAGCTCACACTGACTCAGCTTAGAGGGAACACTGGTCCCAACCGGCTGTGGCAATGCTTTTGGCTGATCTCTTCTAATCTAACTGTATGGCAAAAGCGGTCATCAGGCTTCCACAATTAGGCAGGACAGGCTCCAGGTAGCTGTCACTCAGTGCAAATATACGCCTTGGTGTAGTGGTTAGGAGTGCGGACTCTAATCTGGGAGAACCGGGTTTGATTCCCCACCCCTCCACGTGCAGCTGCTGGTGTGGCTTTGGGTCAGTTACAAGTTATTTCAGAGCTGTTCTCTGTAATAAGGCTTAACAAGCATTGCTGTTCTTTCTTCATGGCACTATGCACTTTCTTGGTTTTATAACCTGGATTTGAACGTAATTCACGAATTGTAAAGTGTTCCTTGGAATGTTATTTGGAATTTTTGATACTATAGATGACTGAATGGAATACATGCATTTATATGGACTTTAATATAGATGGAATTCTTTACATGAATTAGACAGGGAATATCATTTAATGTTTTCATCCTTATTTATTTATTTTTATTTATACATTCAACTTGATATCCCGCTCGAACCCCTTGTCTAGGGGTCTCTGAGCGGCTTACAGATTTTTGGTGCTAATCACCATTCTTCCCTAACTAGGGCCACAGTATATATATGGGGATGGGACACCCTACCTGCACCCCTATGGTGGTAGTTGTTGTAGTTGTTGCTTTTTCGTCAGCTCGGCTCGGGTCAGGTCTCTGGACTGGCGGGCGTTCTTCTTTTCCCAGCGTTTCGGTAGTGGAGGTCTTCATTCTAAGGCGCGCGGCTCCGCCTGCTTCCGGCCCAGCAACGTCCTTTTCGGCTCCGCTTGAGCCGGTGCTCAGCGTCGTCGCACGCCACCTTTTTTTCTTAACGGCAGCACTCGATGTATTCTCCCTCGGCCACCAGGGATCGCTCGACCACGCTCCTCCAATTGCACCCGCCTGCTGCCGCAATGCCACGCTGCCACGCCGTCCACACCGAGTCAATGCTCGCCGCCGTCGTCGTCTTCAACTAACCACAACTAATTTTGTTTTTTATTTTATTTTTTAATTTTGTGACGTCAGTGCCCCCTCGACTTATTTAAGGGCCTCCCTGAATTACAAGATCCTGGCTACGGCCCTGTAAAATATTTTAAAATTTTGTCTTGGTTTTAGACCATCACTTAATTTTGTTATGGCTGCTTTTTGGCTTTGTTTAATTTCCACTAGAATAGTCAAAGGAGCTGTGGTGGCTCAAGTGCTTAAGACGCTGAACTGCAGGCTGTGGAAGGTCGGTAGTTCAGCAGTTCGAGACCTGGGTGCCGCATGATGGAGTGAGCTCCCATCTATGGTTCCAGCTCCTGCCAACCTAGCAGTTCGAAAGCAAGAAATTGCAAGTAGATAAATAGGTACCACTTAGGTGGGAAGGTAACAGCGTTCCGTGCGCCTTGGTGTTTAGTCATGCCGGCCACATGACCACGGAAACGTCTTCAGACAGCGCTGGCTCTTCGGCTTTGAAATGGAGATGAGCACCACAACCCTAGAGTTGGATTTGACTGGCTTTCGAGCAAGGGAACCTTTACCTTTTAGAATAGTCAAAAATGTCTTCCGTTGTCCTGACCTGGATAGCCCAGGCAAGTCCAACCTCGTCAGACCTCAGAAGCTAAGCAGGGTCGACTCTGGCAAGTATTTGGATGGGAGACCTCCAAAGAATACCAGGGCCGGGGCGCAGAAGCAGGCAATAGCAAGCCACCTCTCTGAATATCCTCCAGGCCCCCAGTAGAGGTCAGTCACCAGAGGTCGCCATGACTTCCAGGTGTGCGCACACGCACGCACATATAAAAAAATACAAAAAGAGTCCCACGTTTAGGATAAAAGCCCAGCTTATGCATGCAGGGAAATGAGGTGACAATGGGGTTGCCCCGCTTCACGTGGGGCCTGGAGATCTCCTGAAATTACAGCTGATTCCTCAGACTACAGAGATCAGTTCCCCTGGAGAAAAGAGTTTGCTTTGAGGGGGGAAGTTTATGGCATTATACCTTGCAGAGGGTCCCTCCCTTCCCCAATCCTCCACCTGCTCCAGGGCTCCACCACCAAAGTCTCCAGGAATTTCTCAGCCAAGAGTTGGCAACTGACGAAGGGAGCTTTGACCCCCCCAAAAAAAGCTCATACCCTCCCCCCAAATTAATTAGAATAGTTTTCTTTATAGAGTCTGGGTTCCATCTTGTTGTAGAAAGCATTTTGCCAGCCAGATTTAAAAATGAAGGCTTCCAGCCGGGTAGAAAAGAGGACTGTTGCTACTGCTATAACTATTAATACAGTGTTCATGGAGAGCATTTAAGCCAGCATAATACAGAAGGCTTTTGCACCTAGTTAAAAAAGTTAAACAAGACTGGCTTGCTCCTAATACAAACACTTGAAATGGAACCAGAAGATACTTTGAAGAAAATAAAAAAGAAGTTAAGCATTGGTTTCCTCCTAACATAACACTGAGCTGTATCGAGAGGATTACTCCTGAGGAAGATTGGGATGAAATTGAGAATGATGGACTTTTCCTTGTAACATTGTAAAGTTTTATATATAATACTAGGAGCAAAGATCGTTGTGGAGGAATACAATGAGCCCTAGCATGGCGTGATGGAGGCACCCCCAGTCTCCTGATTTCTCCCCCTGTGCGATCCCCCGGAGTCGGGGGGGGGGCAAAGGAGTGGCTGGGTGACCTCCAGCAACCTCGGGCCGGCGGCGCACCACCCCCACCCAGTGAGAGGCTAGCCAGCTGCATGTAGTCAGTGGCGGCAGCAGGATCGGGCGTGGCCAGAGGCAGCCCCCACGCGCTGGAGTGGGTGGTGTTGCCGTCATTCAGGCGCAGGGCAGCCGGGAGCCTGTAGCCAGGCTCGGGTGGCGGCAGCAGGATCGGGGCAAACCCACAGCCCTCCCCCCCGCTGGAGCGGCTGGGCCGCCCGTCGTCAGATCGCACGGAGGCTGGGTGGCCGCGGCAGGCTTGGGCCACGGCCCCCCTGTCACAGTGTTTGCTTGTTTGTTGTATTTCCTTCTGAACCTACCAAGCAAAGAGAAGAGGTCTGCTCTGCTAGTTCTCTACCTGCATGGAATTCTTTAAAAAAATATATGGAGAAATATTTAAAGCTGGAATTCTACTCCCCGCCCCTCCTGAAGTCTCAAGTGGTACAGTTCAAGCTCAGGGTTTTGGTGGCTTGTTGTCCCACATGTCTAACCCAGGCCTAACAGGCACCGCACGCTTTGTGTACATGGATTGTGAGAAAGGACGAGAGCATCCATCTAGCAGGAATCTAGGGTTGTCAACCTCCAGGTGGTGGCTGGAGATCTCCTGGGATTACAATTGATCTCCAGGCGACAGAGATCAGTTCACCTGGAGGAAATGGCCACTTTGGAAGGTGGACTCAGTGGCATTATAGCGCACAGAAGTCCCTCCCCTCCCCAAACCCCGCCCTCCTCAGACTCCACCCCCAAAATATCCAGGTATTTCTCAGCCTGGATCTGGCAACCCTAAGTCATGAAGACACTGAATGTTGTGTTCCCTCGTTAAGCCCCAGGAGTTTTTTTGGTCATTACAGATTTGCCAAATACTACAAGCAGGCCAACGGAAAGGAGGAGAGGACTCTGATCAAAGCTTATGGCATCCGCTTTGACATCCTGGTCTTCGGCATGGTAATGGCAGCCTCGTTTTCCTTCATGGCCAGAAATTTCAGACTGAGAAACTGGAGTATAAAAACAGTAGCCACCAGAGGAAAATGAAAGTTGGAAGGAATGATTGGACTTCCTAGCAATTGTGGCATGAATCAAATTTCTGTTATTTTTCTGAGCATCTTGGCTATAAGAACATAAGAGAAACCATGTTGGATCAGGCCAATGGCCCATCCCCCTATTGCCCCCCCAAGCACCAAGAACACAGAGCATCACTGCCCAGACATAAGAACATAAGAGAAGCCATGCTGTATCAGGCCAACGGCCCACCCAGTCCGTGTCACCCATTGGCCAAAACCCAAGTGCCGTCAGGAAGTCCACCAGCAGGGTCTGAACTCCAGAAGCCCTCCCCCTGTTGCCCCCCCTCCAAAGCGGGGTTTTCCCCGCCCCCCGGCCCGATTTGGTAGCCCTAGCGGGGCGAGACTCCACCACGGTGTCTTCGAATTGTGTGGCGCGTTTGCCCTGGCGCCGCATCTGTGGACGGGTGTCAGAGACCGCGGCCAGTGGCCAGCGTCCCTGGCATGAGTGGTCGCTGGCTCAGGCTACGGCTGAGGGAGCGCATCGAGCATGGCCACGCCAAAGCAGCTCTCTCTTCGAATCGCAGGGCACGTTCACTCCGGCGCCGCCTCTGTGGGCAGGGGCAGAGACCGCGGCCAGTGGCCAGCGTCCCCGACGTGAGTGGCGGCCGCCTCAGCCTATGGCTGAGGGGGCGCATTGAGCGTGGGCCCCCCAAATTAGCTTTATAATATAGAGAGATAATAATATGATCTTTACTAAATGTCCTAGTCATTCATATCACAGTGTTTGCTTGTTTGTTGTATTTCCTTCTGAACCTACCAAGCAAAGAGAAGAGGTCTGCTCTGCTAGTTCTCTACCTGCATGGAATTCTTTAAAAAAATATATGGAGAAATATTTAAAGCTGGAATTCTACTCCCCGCCCCTCCTGAAGTCTCAAGTGGTACAGTTCAAGCTCAGGGTTTTGGTGGCTTGTTGTCCCACATGTCTAACCCAGGCCTAACAGGCACCGCACGCTTTGTGTACATGGATTGTGAGAAAGGACGAGAGCATCCATCTAGCAGGAATCTAGGGTTGTCAACCTCCAGGTGGTGGCTGGAGATCTCCTGGGATTACAATTGATCTCCAGGCGACAGAGATCAGTTCACCTGGAGGAAATGGCCACTTTGGAAGGTGGACTCAGTGGCATTATAGCGCACAGAAGTCCCTCCCCTCCCCAAACCCCGCCCTCCTCAGACTCCACCCCCAAAATATCCAGGTATTTCTCAGCCTGGATCTGGCAACCCTAAGTCATGAAGACACTGAATGTTGTGTTCCCTCGTTAAGCCCCAGGAGTTTTTTTGGTCATTACAGATTTGCCAAATACTACAAGCAGGCCAACGGAAAGGAGGAGAGGACTCTGATCAAAGCTTATGGCATCCGCTTTGACATCCTGGTCTTCGGCATGGTAATGGCAGCCTCGTTTTCCTTCATGGCCAGAAATTTCAGACTGAGAAACTGGAGTATAAAAACAGTAGCCACCAGAGGAAAATGAAAGTTGGAAGGAATGATTGGACTTCCTAGCAATTGTGGCATGAATCAAATTTCTGTTATTTTTCTGAGCATCTTGGCTATAAGAACATAAGAGAAACCATGTTGGATCAGGCCAATGGCCCATCCCCCTATTGCCCCCCCAAGCACCAAGAACACAGAGCATCACTGCCCAGACATAAGAACATAAGAGAAGCCATGCTGTATCAGGCCAACGGCCCACCCAGTCCGTGTCACCCATTGGCCAAAACCCAAGTGCCGTCAGGAAGTCCACCAGCAGGGTCTGAACTCCAGAAGCCCTCCCCCTGTTGCCCCCCCCAAGCACCAAGAATACAGACCATCACTTGCCCCAGTCATAAGAACATAAAAGAAGCCATGTTGGGCTCACCCAGTCCAACACTCTGTGTCACCCAGTGGCCAAAACCCAAGTGCCGTCAGGAGGTCCACCAGCAGGGTCAGAACTCCAGAAGCCCTCCCCCTGTTGCCCCCCCCCAAGCACCAAGAATACAGAGCATCACTGGCCCAGACATAAGAACATAAGAGAAGCCATGTTGGATCAGGCCTGTGGCCCACCCAGTCCAACACTCTGTGTCACCCAGTGGCCAAAACCCAAGTGCCGTCAGGGGGTCCACCAGTGGGGCTATAACTCTTGGACCCCCCCCCCCAAGCACCATGTAATATCCCACCCCACCCCAAGTTTATATAGCTCCATCCAGGGCTGTAGCGCTGCAGGAGGTCTCAGATGTTCCACCCCCTCTCCCCAATCTTCAGTCCAAACTGTATGTGCCTGTTTCCTAACAGAGATATGAGAAAACACACACACAGCTTGTATCCTGCCCGATTGTTCCTCTTTCCAGTGTTCTGTGGCTAATGCACAGAGAGGCAATGTGGTGGCGGTCAAGCATCTGGTACTTGCTTAATTTCTGATTAAACTTTATATTGAATATGATTTCTGCCCGTTTGCAGTCACTCACCACCCCTCCTGAAGGCCATTCACACATTATGATCCACACAGGTTGTGTCTGGATTCCCTGCTGTGACTTTGCCAGATGTGAGTTGTGGGTCTGGAAAATAGCCTGTGAGGGGAGGGGAGATTGTGACTCCTTCTCATCACGGTTGCAGTCTGAATTGGACACAGCCAGTGTTCCCTCTAAGCATGGGTCATTCCGTAGAAAAAGAGGTGCAAACTCATTAGCATAACTTATTTGCACATGCCACACCCCATGACATCACCGGAAGTGTGTCAGAAGGCCACACCCACTGCAACTTACCTATCTGCTTCTTGCTCCTCGTGGCCCCAGGGCTGTTGGGAGCAGGGGGTGGGGCTTGTTGCATGTGCCCGCTCCCTGGACTCTTTACTTCTGGAGCTCTGCTTCTGTGCGCTCCTGCAGGAAATGACCCCTGCCTCTAAGCTGAGTTAATGTGCGCTAGCTCACACTTTTTTAGCCTCCAGCTCACAGATTATTTATTGTCTTTGCTCAGGAAGGATGGCTCCAGAGCAAACTAATTTATGCAGTAGCCAAATCGCTCGCTCACAACTTTAATGCCAGGAGCTCACAAAGTAGAATTTTTGCTCACAAGACTCCACAGCTTAGAGGGGGCACTGGGCACAGCATGTGTGAGAATTACTGAGAACCTGCAATTCACATCTAAATGAAGACCAGAATTGGGAACCGACCTGAGACCCGACCTGTGTAGATGGTAATATGTGCATTTCCTCACCACCATATTTCTGGCACTTGGCAGGGCTCCATTCATGAAACAGAAATGACGGTATCTTTCTCTTCTCTTACTCTCGCTTTAAAGTTAATTTCTCTTTTGCATTTCCCAAAGGGAGGACAATTTAACTTCTTTGAGCTGCTGGTCTACATAGGTTCAGCCCTCTCCTATTTTGGCCTGGTAAGAGAGAGTTTTTTATGATGTGGCTCTCAAGGTGGGAAGGGATGATTTCTGGAGAGAAAACTCATTCCAAAGAGCTGCATTGCCAACCTCTTCTGGTGTTTATTCCCAGGCTCAATTATTTGTTGATTTCCTCATCACTTCGTACACATTTCCTTGCTTCAAATCAAACCCGGTGAAGGAATATTATTACAGGAAGAAGTGTGAGTCAGTGCCAGGGCCCAGATGGGTAAGTACCAAAGATATCCATTCCCTGATCATATTTGGGCTAGACTACCGCAGTGTGTTTTAAGTGGGGCTGCCTTTGAAGAGTGTTTCTTAGTTTAGGTTTTATTACAGTCCTTAGACCAGATATACTTACAGATATATATTATCTGTATATATTACAGATAATGCATTCCAGAAAATTAAAAGCTAATATAAAGAAGAGTGTTATATGTAATATAAAGCTAATATAAGGAAGAGTGTTTCAAAGTTACAGTGGGCGCAAAATGCAGTTGGAGAAAAGGTTTTGAATCCTGACAATAACTTGGTAACTTATTGCTCAATTAAATTATTGTTCTGAAAGGTCCTAAACATTCATAGCAACAACATTTAAGGTACTGGGAGTCTTGATGCTATATCTTCTACTACTATTTATATATGATATACTATGTACATTCCTGGATGCTCAGGCTGCACGTTTCTTTGTCTCTTTTGCTGGACAGACCCTATTGTACGTGGCGTACGTCGATGAGCCGCATGTTACTATGATTGACAAAGTGCTGCAGACAAGCTTACAGAAAATTAAAGGCGAAATTATCCACGTGAGTTGGGATCTTTCTTGTACATGCAGGTGGATGTGCTGAGCTCTTTCTGACAAAATGCTGGAGTAAAGTTTGTTAGTTCTTAGAGGAGAGGAGGAGATTGGATCTATACCCCGCCCTTCACTTGGAGTCTCAGAGCGGCTTACAAACTCCTCTCCCTTCCCCTCCCCACAACAGACACCCTGTGAGGTGGGTGGGGCTGAGAGAGCTCTGACACAAACGGCTCTTTTTCAAGGACAGCTGTGCCAGAGCTTGTGACTGACCCAAGGTCACACCAGCAGGTGCAAGTGGAGGAGTGGGGAATCAAACCCGGTTCTCCCAGATTAGAGTCCGCACACTTAACCACTACACCATAAGGCTCTAGTTTTAATAATAGTTTACGGCAGAGGTCCTCAGCGTGGTGCCCAGGGGTCCCATAACACCCACCAACGCCTAGTGTTCTTAGAAAGCAGGAGTGGCCATGTGGAGCTTTTGCCCAGCAGCACTTCTGATTGGCCTTTGGAGATTTGATTGGCTGTGCCTGTGCGGATTTTTCAAAATGTTGCTTTGGCAGCAGCTGCTGCCCCCACAGCACAAGGAGCTTCACGGTGTTACTGAAGGTAAGGTGGGCAGCCATTTTGTGCCTGACTCCGCGTCCTGTGGCAGCCATTTTGAGAATGACAAAGGTGCCCACAGGCTCAGGAAGGTTGAGGACCACTGGTGTGTGGTATATATGACTGACCAGAGGGTGCGAAGGGACAGAAAAACTGAATGTGTGCAGCAATGGGTGAAGGGTCACCTCAGAAGGAACAGCCTTGCCCCCCCTCCAAGCATTACCCTTCCGAGCACCCCACCCTGCTTATTTCTTTGGAGCAGTGGGGCTCACCCCATTGCTGGGACCGACGTGCTTCAGGGGATGATGTCTCTCACTGGCTCATCTCTGAGGGGACTCTGCCCCGTTGCCTCCTTTACTTCTTCTACCCTTTCCTTGCTGCTGCTCTTGAAGTTTGGCTTTGGAGCACAGTTGCTGCCTCCCTTAGCCACAGGTTTAAATCCCACTCTGATCAGTGCTGTGGTTGATGTTTACAACGCCTTTCTTAGCACCCGCCAAGTGTAGTGCACCCAGTCTGGTGCAGTGGTTAAGTGTGTAGACTCTAATCCGGGAGAACTGGGTTTCATTCCCCAGTCCTCCACTTGCAGCTGCTGGATGACCTTGGGCAAGCCATAGTTCTGACAAGAGCTGTCCTTGAAAAAGAGCCGTTTGTGTCAGAGTTCTCTCAGCCCCACCTGCCTCACAGGGTGTCTGTTGTGGGGAGGGGAAGGGGAAGGAGATTGTAAACTGCTCTGAGACTCCGAGTGAAGGGCAGGGTATAAATCCAATCTCCTCCTCCTCCTCCTTCCTCCAAAGTGGGTGGGGCCGGGTGGCGCTCTCGGCCAGTCGGGCTTCTGATTTACCATTGAAGAACTGATTGACTATTCAGATTAAAATAACATATTGGGCACTTCCACACACGCTGAATAATGCACTTTCAATCGACATGCAATGTGCTTTCATGATTGTCTGCAAGGGAGTTTTTGTCATTTCACACCAAAGAGTTTCACACCAAAGAGATTGTCTGCAAGGGAGTTTTTGTCATTTCACACAGCAACACTTCTCATAAATGGGCAGATATTGACAGCACATCTCAGAAAAAGCTCAAGGCTTTACATCACACTTCCTTCCATAATCACTGCCTTGAGAGCTTGACCTTTTTCTGAGATGTGCTGTCAGTAACTGCCCATTTATGAGAAGTGTTGCTGTAACTCACAAGAGTGCATATAACCTATTTGAAGATATATTGTTTCAGTCACTGAGGAAGTTCTTCGAAACGGAGTTCTTAATATCTGGATTCTTCGTTCATCATTCTTCATACGTCTTCATCTCAAGAGGAAACTTTTCTACGTTAAGATTGGACTTGATTCTGCTTATATGATTGTAATTGTATCAGTGCTTTGGCCTTTATTGAACCCGTGTTAGCATCTTTTTCACAGAGATTACTATTCCCTTGTGTACCTACACTGTGAGGAATTTCAGACAGACGATATAATCCGGAACGGTTCCCAAACAGTTTCTGGTCTGTCATTTCAGACAGAACCGTTTTAGAACCGGTTCCCTACCGGAATATATTTGTACGTTCACATACAAACGCTTCTGTCCCATTTAGGAAACGGGGCTGAAGCGTTTTACCTGTTAACCGCTTCCAAGTAGTCTTCAGTTTCCTCTCCCGGTTCCAATGCGCCTTTTCCCGCCGTTTTTCGCCTGAGCGGGCGATCTCCAGTTTTTTTTTTAAGTTTGCTTTATAGCGGTATAACGCTATAATGGAACAGCAATATATCAATGCCATTGGAATGCCTGGAGTGTTTTTATAGTGCTATAGCGCTATAAAGCGAACGTTAAAAAAAAATAAGCCGGAGATCACCGGCGTGGGCGAAAAACAGTGGGGAAAAAGCGGTGCAGTCTGAAATGGCAAACCGCTTCAGATCCAGCTCTTTACCGGAAGGGGAAAGCCATGTGTGAAATGGCAGCCCTATACTGGTTTACTCATGATGGATCAAAAATAGCTTCAAAACGGGTTAAAAAGAGTAATGTGAAATTCCTCCGTGTGTTCCTCTTTGGTTGCTGTTAGAATTCCGAAGGCGTACACAGGCTCAAAAAGGTTGGGGAGCCCTGGCCTAGCCATTTCTGAACGTATACACCATATGTCTTTCAACTGCAGAGACGCTTGGGCGATTTCACGCGTTTTGCCAAACTCCCACCGCGACATCCGGACGAAGCCGAAGCTCTTGGAAAAGCCCCAGAGCTGCAGCCCCTTCAAAAGAAAGAGGGTGCCGCTCCCCACCACCAGCGTCCTTCCTGGTGCTGCTGCAACAAATGCCGCCCAGCGGAGCCCTACTGGGAGCAGCTCTGCTGCCGGAGGAAAGACGGGGCCTGCGTCACCACCTCGGCCCTGTTTCAGCAGCTCGTCCTGTCCAGACCGGCATTGGAGTTCATCCTCCTCTACGAAGACCCCTTGTTGGACCTCAAGGCAGAGACGCTTAACAAGCAGCTCCGGCACGCTGCGTACAAGCAGTACATCCGCTGGCGCTTCGGAGACGACGGCAACCTAGGCAAACGGGCCGTCCTCCCGAACTGCTGCCGGTGGAGCATCAGAGAGGCCTTTCCCAGCGAGGACGGCCAGTACACTGGCTTCAGGAAGAAGAAATAACTCTGCGTGCGGAGAGCCTTCGTAGCATGGCCTTGGCGCACGCCGGGATGAAATCGGTGCATCGGGGACCTGCGAGGAAACGTGGGGGGGGGGGAAATTTAGAAATCCCCACCCACCGCCAACATCTCTCACTGCCAGGAGTCTGTAAACACTGTGTAGGGATGCCAGCCTCCAGGCGGAGCCAGGAGATCTCCCGGAATTACAACTGAACCCCAGACTACAGAGATCAATTCCCCTGGAGAAAATGGCTGCTTTGGAGGGTGGACTCTGTAGCATCACAATCCTGCTGAGTGCCTTCCCCACCCCAAACTGCACCCTCTCCAGGCTCCACTCCCCCCAAATATCCAGGAATTCCCCAACCCAGAAGTAGCAACCATTGTTCCCTCTAAGCTGTGGAGTCTTGTGAGCACAAATTCTCCTTTGTGAGCAACTGGCATTATAGTTGTGAGCCAGCGATTAGGCTACTGCCTAAATCAGTTTGCTCCTGAGCCCTCCTTCCGGAGCTGAGACACTAAATAATCTGTGAGCTGGAGGCTAAAAACCTGTGAGCTAGCTCACACTGACTCAGCTTAGAGGGAACACATAAGAACATAAGAGACGCCAATGTTGGATCAGGCCAAAGGCCCATCCAGTCCAACACTCTGTATCACACAGTGGCCAGAAATACCAGGTGCCACCAGGAGGTCCACCAGTGGGGCCAGGACATTAGAAGCCCTCCCACTGTTGACCCCGCCAAGCACCAAGATGACAGAGCATCACCTGCCCCAGAGTCCCTATCTATACCTTGTGGCTAATAGCCACTGATGGACCTCTGCTCCATATGCTTATCTAATTCCCTTTTGAAGCCGTCCATGCTTGTAGCCCCCACCACTTCCTGTGGCAGTGAATTCCAAGTGTTAATCACTCTTTGGGTGAAGAAGTACTTCCTTTTATCCGTTCTAACCCGACCGCTCAGCAATTTCATGTAGTGCCCACGAGTTCTTGCATTGTGAATACTTTGTGAAATACACTGGTGGCAACACCCTATCCTCTCCCCCCCACCCCTTTGCCTCGCTCTTAGCATCCCACACCAATGCCCCCTCTAAGCTGTGGAGTCTTGTGAGCGAAAAAATCAATTTTGTGAGCTCCTGGCATTAAAGTTGTGAGCGAGCGATTTGGCTCCCGCATAAATTTGTTTGCTCTGGAGCCGTCCTTCCTGAGCTGAGAGCAAGCTAATGTGTGAGCCGGTGGCTGAAAAACCGTGAGCTAGCTCAGCTTTGAGGGAACACAGTTCCACACCTCCTGCAGCATACTCAGCACGTAGGGATGCCAGGCTCCAGGTAGGATCTGGGGATCCCCCGGAATTACAGCTTCTCTCCAGACTGCAGAGAACATGGCTGCTTTTTAGGGTGGTCTCTCTAGTATCACTGCTAGGTTAGCAGGAGCTGGAACTAGAGACGGGAGCTCACTCCGTCATGCGGCAACCTAGCAGTTTGAAAGCAAGAAATTGCAGATAGATAAATAGGTACCACTTCGGTGGGAAGGTAACAGCGTTCCGTGCGCCTTGGTGTTTAGTCATGCCGGCCACATGACCACGGAAACGTCTTTGGACAGCGCTGGCTCTTCGGCTTGGAAACGGAGATGAGCACCGCAACCCTAGAGTCGGATTCGACTGGTTTTCGAGCAAGGGAGACCTTTACCTTTACTTCTAGTATCACAGCCCAGTGTTCCCTCTAAGCTGAGTCAGTGCAAGCTAGCTCACAGTTTTCTAGCCTCCAGTCCACACTTTTTTGCCTTAGCTCGGGAAGGGATGGCTCCAGAGCAAGCTAATTCATGCAGCAGCCAAATCGCTGGCTCACAATTTTAATGCCAGTAGCTCACAAAGTAGAATTTTTGCTCACAGGACTCCGCAGCTTAGAGGGAGCATCATCCCTGACGAACTCTCTTGCCTCCCCAAACCGCACCTTCCCCAGGGTCTGTCCCCCAAATCTCCAGGAATTCCCTAACCCAGACTTGGCAACCCTGTGCTCCCTCCCTCCCTTCCCTTCGCCTTGCTCTCAACATTCCATGCCTCCCGGACTCCTGGAGCATACTCGGGCTGTCTTTTCAAAGTTTTCTTTTGGCTCGTTCACAAAATCTTCTCAGTAGATTTGGGGGTCCCCTCCAATGCTCCCGCTAAGCTGTGGAGTCTTGTGAGCAAAAATTTGAGCCAGTTTGGTGTAGTGGTGAAGTGCGCAAACTGTAATCTGGGAGAACCGGGTTTGATTCCCCACTCCTCCACTTGCACCTGGCTGGATGACCTTGGGCAAGCCGAAGTTCTGATAAGAGCTGTTCTTGAAAAAAGAGCAGTTTCTGTCAGAACTCTCTCAGCCCCACCTGCCTCCCAGGGTGTCTGTGGTGGGGAGGGGGAGGGAAAGGAGTTTGTCAGCCGCTCTGAGACACCTTTGGGTAGTGAAGGGCGGGGTATAAATCCAGTCTCCTCTTCCAGTTTGGTGTCGTGATTAAGGGTGCGGACTCTAATCTGGGAGAACCGGGTTTGATTCCCCACTCCTCCACTTGCACCTGCTGATGTGACCTTGGGTCAGTCACAAGCTCTGGCACAGCTGTCCTTGAAAAAGAGCAGTTTCTGTCCGAGATCTCTCAGCCCCGCCCACCTCACAGGGTGTCTGTTGTGGGGAGGGGAAGGGAAAGGAGTTTGTAAGCCGCTCTGAGACTCCAAGTGAAGGGCGGGGTATAAATCCAATCTCTTCTTCTTCTTCTTGGGTCAGCTTCACTCCTGAGTCATAAACGGCAGTGCCAGTCAGTGATGGGCAGGCTCACCTCTGAGGCTTCCAGCAAATGACAGAAAGGAACTGGGAGAAACACCACCTTGGTTTATCTGTTAAAGCAACAAAATAGTTAGATCCTGCATAGGGCTCTTTTTTTAAAAAGTCTATTCAAAAAGGGAACAACGCTTAGGAGAAAGTCTTGCTAATCGCAGGCATCCTGGCTGTCTGGTTCCTCCGGGGAGCCATCCATCTTTTTGTGTCTTGTTTTAAGCGGTTTGGGTTGTTCTGGCCCAATGGCTCTGCTGTTTTTGTTTCTCTGGGAGGGGGGAAAGAAAAGACGATGTCAGCTGCAGGCACCAGGTTGATTGCCGCTTCATTTCTGGCATCGGTTCTTCGCGGCAGGCTCATCTATCGCGCTTCCAGCGACTGTTCTGTAATGCATTTTTAACTGACTTATGTTTGTGCAGCTTTATTTGGTATGGACTAAACGGAAGGTTACACAGACCACGGAGTCCACATATCCCTTCTCGGCAGCTAGTTTCACTACAAGGCCACTTTGATGGGGTGGGCAGAGCAGGAAGGGTCTAAATCCCCTTCCTCTAAATGGCTGGCACCCAAAGGCTCAATACAGCCTTTGGCGTCTCTGGGCATTGAGCTAAGGCCCTGACAGTTGCCGATCCCTTTGTTATCACGACGGCAGTCCTCAGCATAGACAAGGACAGAGAAAAGGCGATCACTTCACTCAAAGCGAGCGCATGGAACTCACTGCCACATGACATGAGGCATAATGATGGCAGCCTTCAGCACAGACAAGGACAGAGAGAAGGAAATACGTCACAGAGCTTATGGAACTCACTGCCACATGATGTAGCGATGGCAATGAGTTTTAGTTGACTTTAAATGAGGATTTGGCAAATTCAGGGAGGAGGGGTCAATCAGAGGCTGTTGACCACAATCGCCAAGTAGAACCTTCATGTTCAGAGGCAGTAACCTTAGGAATACCAGTGCCGGTAGGGCAATAATGGAGAAGTTTTGGCCTCTTTGCTCGCACCACGTCTGAGGTCATCTAGTGATCACTGTGTCAAACAGGATGCTGGACTAGACAGCCATTGGTCTGGTCCTCTGTTTTAGACCTCGGTTAGGTAGTTTTGCATTTCATAGTAGGTCACTTACTGTTAGGGGCCGTGGTGGCTCTGAGGTTAAGACACTGAGCTGCAGACCGGAAGGTCAGTAGTTCAGCAGTTCGTGACCCGAGTGCCGCATGACGGAGTGAGCTCCCGTCTCTGGCCCCAGCTCCTGCCCAACCTAGCAGTTCGAAAGCAAGAAATTGCAAGTAGATAAAGAGGTACTGGTTCGGTGGGAAGGGAACAGCGTTCCGTGCACCTCGGTGTCTAGTCACACCGGCCACATGACCACAGAAACGTCTTCGAACAGCGCTGGCTCTTCTTGGAAACGGAGATGAGCACCGCATCCCTAGAGTCGGATTCAACTGGCTTTCAAGCAAGGGAGACCTTTACCTTTACCTTATACTTATTGTTAGAACGCTTGCAGTGGGTTACCCATTCTGCATGGTAGGATGCCGCTGCCCTGTTTCCAGGTGGGACCCGGGGATCCCCTGGAATTATAGCTCACCTCTGCAGAACAGAGATGAGTTCCCCTGGAGAAAATGGCTGCTTTGGAGGGGTGGACTCTATGGCACTGTGCCCCACTGATGTCCCTGTCCTCCCCCGGCTCCACCCCCAAATCTCCAGCGGTTTCTCAACCTGGATCTGGCAGCCTGATTACTCTGCACATAGCTTCCTGTGCGTCGCTGCCACATGGAACGATTTGAAATGGACTCCGTGTGACAGTTGGTGTGACAGTCACTGTAACATGTCCACTAGCCCCACTAAGACCTTATTTTATTGCATTACTGTCAAAGCTTCAAAAGGTACTAGTCCTCAGTGAGTTTTACTGGCTAGATGGCCTGCTTGCACGTGTCTGTGTTAATCACTGTGGTCCATTGATTGTATGGGGGGGGGAACTATCTTCCATTTCACGGATCTTTGCCTGGTCGCAGAACATAAACTAGTAGCCGGGTGGCTTATTACATTCCCGAGCTAAGGTTTCTGCACTGATGTGAACAATGCTTAGTCATTTGGGGAACCACTGGGGCATGTTAAGAACACAAGGGACGCCAATGTTGGATCAGGCCAATGGCCCATCCAGTCCAACACTGTGTCACACAGTGGCCAAAAATACCAGGGGCCATCAGGAGGTCCAACAGCAGGGCCAGGACACTAGAAGCCCTCCCACTGTTGCCCCCCCCCCCAAGCACCAAAAATACAGAGCATCTGGTGCCAGCCTGAGAGTTCCTATCTATACCTTCTGGCTAAGAGCCACCAATGGACCTCTGCTCCATATGTTCATCCAATTCCCTCTTATAAGAACACAAGAGAAGCCAATGTTGGGTCAGGCCAAAGGCCCATCCAGTCCAACACTTTGTGTCACAGTGGCCAAAAATACCAGGTGCCATCAGGAGGTCCACCAGTGGGGCCAGGACATTAGAGGCCCTCCCACTGTTGCATTTTAATTTTCAGTTTTTATATACATTTTTTGTTAATTTACTGCCTCTGTGGGTTCATATGAAAATAAAGGTTTTGTAGAACACACTGTGTGCGTGATTAATCCATGTATTTTGCATTTCTGCTTTTTAAAAATCTGCTGATGTATCCTAGATGGTCGAGGCTAGCCTGGTCTCATCAGATCTCGGAAACTAAGCCGGCTCAGCCCTCGTTAGTACTTAGGCGAGAGACCACCCAGGAAGTCCAGGGTCACCAGGCAGAGGCAGGCAATGGCCAACCACCCCTGCTCATCTCTTGTCTTGAAAACCCTGCAGGGTTGCCACAAGTTAGCTGCAGTGCTTTCCTTGTATCTGTACAGTGTCCTGCTTTGTAAAGACTCCCAGTCTAAACCTTCTCTCCATGCAAGACAGGCCCCGATAAAGCCTCAAACCCCCATCCTCAATACTTTGTTGTTGTTCAGTTGCACAGTCGAGTCCGACTCTTCGCGACCCCATGAACTACATCAAGCCAGGCCCTCCTGTCTTCTGTCATACTCCGGAGTTTGCTTAATTTAATTCATTAAATTCATCCTCAATACACACACAGTCTAATTCTATAACATTTGCTTAGAAGTAATCTCTCCTGCGGTGGCTCAACTGGTTAAGATGCTGAACTGCAGGCTGTGGAAGGTCAGTAGTTCAGCAGTTCGAGACCCGGGTGCCGCAAGACGGAGTGAGCTCCCGTCTCTAGTTCCAGCTCCTGCCAACCTAGCAGTTTGAAAGCAAGAAATTGCAAGTAGATAAATAGGTACCACTTCGGTGGGAAGGTAACAGTGTTCCGTGCGCCTTGGTGTTTAGTCATGCCGGCCACATGACCACGGAAACGTCTTCGGACAGCGCTGGCTCTTCGGCTTTGAAACGGAGATGAGCACCGCAACCCTAGAGTCGGATTCGACTGGCTTTCGAGCAAGGGAACCTTTACCTTTACCTAATCTCTCCTTATATGTAATTGTGAAGTGGGGTGGCACTTTCCAGCTCTCCCACTGGCTGTGCAATGCATTCCCTCCCAGGGCTCTTTTTGTAGAAAAAGCCCAGCAGGAACTCATTAGCAGAATAGGCCACACCCAACAGCAGAAACTAATTAGCATATTAGGCCACACCCCGACAGCACAGCTCATTAGCACATTAGGCCGCACCCCCATGTTACCAGAAGTGTGGTCATCCAGCCACACCCACCTTTTGCTTCTTATTCTGTTTACCTTGTTTGTTGTCAAAACCCAGGGCCTTTTTTTGTAGCAGGAACTCCTTTGCATGTTAGGCCACACACCCCTAACATAGCCAATCCTAATGAGTTCCTGCTGTTGGGTGTGGCCTATTATGCTAATGAGTTCCTGCTGGGTGTGGCCAACTCGGGAGCCAGCCGGAACTCCGTTCCTGTGCGTTCCTGCCCCAAAATAGCCCTGCCCTCAGCCATTGGCCCATCAGCTGCTACTCAAGAGTACTCGTGTGCCATTGGCCGGCTGCTGGGTCACTTCACAATTATATATAAAGAGAGATTATAATTATTGTATGGCAGTGGGTGTACAACCAGGAGATCTGAAGGTTGTCTGGCAGCCTGAAACTCTAGCTCTTTTTATGGCGACCTAGGTTTATTTTTTGGGTTGAGAGAACTGTGACTGGCTGAAGGTTACCCAGCTGGCTTCATGTGGAGGAGTAGGGAATCGAACCTGGTTCTCCAGATTAGAGTCCGCCGCTCTTAACCTCTACACCAGACTGGCTCTCAGAGTCAGAAGTAATTATTATCCAGCGGAATGAGGATTGCTCCCAAGCGAGTGTGAACAGGAATGCAGAGGATGTAACTGTTATGTCAGTGGACTTCCTGCTCAGGTTTACCGCCTCAGTGAGTTGTGTTGGATGCACATGGTTGTTGGCTGCATAGTAACGACATGCAAATCCTGTGCTTGCAAACTGCTTGTTTGTGACTTATTTTTCCCAGTCTGTTGGGTTGTCAAAAACTGCTGCATGTGAAGGAATTCCAGCCTCAAGCAAAAAACTTCTTCTCTGAGAAGAAGAGGAGGAGGAGATTGGATTTATACCCCGCCCTTCACTACCCAAGGGAGTCTCAGAGCAGCTTACAAACTCCTTTCCCTCCACCTCCCAACAACAGATACCCTGTGAGGTAAAAGAAGAAGGAGATTGGATTTATACCCCACCCTTCACTACCCAAAAGAGTCTCAGAGCGTCTTACAAACTCCTTTCCCTTCCCCTCCCCACAACAGACACCCTGTGAGGGAGGTGGGGCTGAGAGAGCTCTGACAGAAACTGCTCTTTTTCAAGGACAGCTCTTATCAGAACTATGGCTTGCCCAAGGTCATCCAGCAGGTGCGAGTGGAGAAGTGGGGAATCTCCCAGATGAGAGTCTTCGCACTTCACCACTACACCAAACTTTGTTTATATTTTGCCTTTCTCCCCAAGAGAGCCCCAGACTAGCTTATATTGTTCTCCTCTCCATTTTATCCTCACCACAATCCTGTGAGGTAGGTTAGTCTGAGAGAGAGAGAGAGTGACTGGCCCAAGGTCACCAACCAATGAGCTTCCATGACAGAGTGGGGATTCAAACCTGGGTCTCCCAGATGTATTTGCATCCTTTTCTCCCCAGTTTGGTTACTAAGCGGCTTTTCGCACATTGATCTCTTCGCCTCCATTTCCCCACAACAGCCCTGGGAGGTAGGCCAGGCTGCACCAGGCCCAAGATTACCCAGTGAGCTTCCATGGTAGAAGTGGGGATTCGAATTCGGGTCATCCAAGGGTCCTGATCCGCTATTCTATCCACTACACCACTGGCTCTGGCCAGATCCTAACATATGATTACAAAGGGCCAGTGAAAAGAGGAAATAATTGCATCTGCGGGTATGGACCGATCTGAACTGGTCATGACATTGGAAAGGTCCCACAAGACCTTTGAGGCTGCAAAAGAAGAAGACGGGGCTGTATTCCTTCTTCCAGGTGAGCTCCCTTTGGTGAACTCAGAGTTATCCTATCCTGACAACCAGGGGTCATTTTGTAGAAAAAGAGTTGCAGGAGCTCATCAGCATAACTTATTTGCATATCACCGGCATAACTTATTTGCATAACTGACATCACCGGAAGTGTGTCAGAAGGCAACACCCACCGCTCAGGCTCCACTGGACTGTTTTGGATTGTTAGCTATTGGTGTGTGTGTGTGTGTGCAGATCTGTCTTAGCAGAGGAGGGAGAGCTGGTACCTGAATAAAACTCGGTCTTAAAGGTGCCACTAGACTGTTTTGGACCAGGGGTGGGTGGGGGGGTGGGTGGGGGGCCTCTGCAACTTACCTGGCTGCTTCTTGCTCTGACAGGGCTGTTGGGAGCAGGGGGTGGGGTTTGTTGCATGTGCCCGCCCCCTGAGATCTTTACTCCTGTGCGCTCCTGCAAGAAATGACCCCTGCTGACAACAACCCTGTAAAGGCAGAGCAGGTGTAGCGGGAGGTCTGAGAGACAGACCACCAGGGAGTCAGCAAGGAGAATCAACAGTTGTTTATTAAGCCTGCGGTACAGCCAAATGCACCTCTCTGGGCACTTTCAAAACAGGGCATGTACTCGGAATGCAGGTTTGAGCCGACATATAGTTTTCCACAGAGTAGGGGGGGGGGATCATTTTTCCTTGGTCATTTCTTTTAGCATTCGCATGCAAGATTATTGCAGACATTGACCATGAAGCCTGAAGCATTTGTGTTCTTTTGCAAAACCACATAACATCCTTGGCTCATCACATGTCCCTCCGCCGGCTGTCCCTAAGTTCTTGAGGGCCAAAGATGCTCCTGGAGCCTCGTCTCCCAGTGGCCGGGGCCCGGGAGACTACAATTAAAGAGAAATGCCCGGTGGCGCCCGGCGCTCTCCCACCGCCGCCAACCCCAAGTTCCCGCGCCTCCTCCCCGCTCCGCCGGCAGCGGCCTTGCCTGTCTAAGTGCACAGAATCAGCAGCGCTGACAGGTGGCCATCGATCCTCTTGCTTTAAAGTAAAATAAGTTTTATCGTGGGCGTCGGAAGCTGATACCCCGAATGAAACTCTGTGGTGCCCCGGGACTCGAACTCAAAGCTCTCTCCTTAAAACTCTTCGCCATTGCAATGACGGCAGCCAGAGAAAGGGAAAGCCGGAGAAACTGGCCGGGAGGCGTGCCTCTCTCGCTCTCTCCCATCCCCGGGCGCAGCGGCTTCCTGGAGGGCAGGAGGCGCTTGCGGGGAAGCGGCGCTGCAGGCTCCGGACCCGCCCCCTCTAATAAAGCTCCCCTCGCGGGCCATGTGGGACGGGAGCAGGAAGCGGAGGATGTGTCTCGCTGGCTGGCGCTGACTCCAGCCTCGTCTTCCCGTCGGGCGAGGAGGAGGAGGGAGCCTTCGGGGCACCGCCAGCACCACCGCCGCCGTCGGGGGCAACCATGGCCGCGGCCGGGGGCTGCTGCGCGGCCCTGTACAGTTTCCTCTTCGAGTACGACACGCCGCGGATCGTGCTCATCAAGAGCCGCAAAGTGGGGCTCATGAACCGGCTGGTCCAGCTGGCCATCCTGGCCTACGTGATCGGGTGAGCGCCGGGGAAGGCGGTCCTGGGAATGCGTGTCGGGCGCGCCCCGGGGGCTGGAGGAGTCGCCCCGTGGCTCTTCTTGGCTAGGAGGAGGGCAGCATAATTTGCTTTCAGTGCGTTTTCCAACTGGGTTTGGGTGTTGTGAGCTGGCAAAATCCAGGTGGGAAGGGCACTGGAAGTGGCTTGAAAGTGGATTATTTAGTGTTTGTGACGGGAGAGAACCGGATTCAGATTTCCTCTGGGCCACATGGCATGAAGTTCACTTGGTTATCTTGAAGAACAGAGTTTTAGTCCAGTGGGCACCTTTAAGACCCGCAAAGTTTTATTCTGGTTACAAGCTTTTGTGTGCAGGCACACTTCTCCAGACGCCTTGTTATCTTGAGCTAGCCACACCTCCTGACCTACCTTGCAGGGTCGTTGTGAGAACAACGTGAAGGTTGATTTACCCTGAGTTCCCAAGAGGAAGGATGTGTTTTTGCTACTTTTTTTAAACGTAAGAGATGACTTGTGTTCAAACAGGAGGTGCCCTTCTCTTTTTTTAAAATGGGAAGGAGGAAAAGTCACTTTACAGCTCAAAAGCTAGGAGGGAGTCACATACCCCTTTAGAAAGGCAATGAAGGTTTTGCGTGTCTGCTGTTTTGCCCCCACTGCTCCTGTTGAATGGCTGCCGGAGTTGTCACTTTTAAAGGCACAGGGCCTGCCCCGGAAGGCCCAGGCTACCCCGATCTTGTCACATCTCAGGAGCTAAGCAGTGTTGGCCTTGGTTTGTATTTGGACGGGAGACCACCAAGGCCAGTCCAGGGTCCTTCTACAGAAGCAGGCGATGGCCAACCACCTCTGAACGCCTCTTGCCTTGCAAACCCCATGATGGGTTTGCCATAATTTGGCGGAGATTTGATGGCACTTTCTACCATTCGCTCCCCGTCTTAACACCCCCCCCCTTTAAACAAGACACAAAATTCCTGTAGCTGGAAGCCTCGCCTTTACCTCTCTCCTGCTGTTAAGCTGCAGAAAGTAATTTCGTCCCGTTTTCGGAAATACAGAACCTAAGAAGAGGAGAGAGGGGAAAGTATCTTTCCTTGTACAGAGCTCAAACAGCTGTCGTGCAAATGCCCCGTGGCTAAAGGGGTAAAGTAGTCCAGAAGTAAAGAATAATCCAGATCTCAACAGAATAATCCAGATCTCAACAGAAACGGTGCATGCCACAGTTATGCAGTTATCTCCAGATCCAACTGCACAACTGGACTTCATTCTGTGGCTCACAGTTTTTTAGCCTCCAGCTCACACATTTTTGTCTTAGCTCAGGAAGGATGGGTCCAGAGCAAACTAATTTATGCAGCAGCCAAATCGCTGGCTCACAACTTTCATGCCAGCAGCTCACAAAGTAGAATTTTTGCTCACAAGATTCCACAGCTTAGAGGGAGCATTGATTGGGGGGGGGGGATACAGGTGAAGTTCTAAACAGGCAGGGTTAGAAGGATAATTCTCTGTTGCTGGTGTATTCATTGTGTAAACGTCCATACAACTGAAATTGAATAACACCTTTAAAACTGACTTGAATCAGGGTTCTTTAACTTTTCATCTACAGCTTCCCACTAAAGTATGCAACATTATCATCGAATACCCCCCCTTGTCACATTTTAAAAAATTAGGCTATAAAAACACTATTCCAGACAAGGCAGTTTTAATTGTATAGGTATTTTTATTTTCATGATATATATTTACTTCATTTGTACTTTGTCTTTCTCCCCAGTGGGGACCCAAAGGAGCTGACATTGTTTTCCTCTTTTCCGTTTTATCCTCACAACAACCCTGTGAGGTGGGTTAGACTGAGAGAGTCTGTGACTAGCCCAAGGTCACCCAGCGAGGTTCCATGGCAGGGCGGGGATTAGAACCTGGGTCTTCCACACCCTAGTCAAATGCTCTGACCACTACACAATACCATATGCACACAATACTGGGATCTGCAAAATGCTTGTGCCGAATGGCTGTCAGCCAACTCCATGACATTAGGTTTGATTCTTTTTGAAGAGTTCAGGGGAGAAATCTTGGATTTTATCCTCTGTGTGATGAGTAGTTATAAAACAACCCAGTTTGGTGTAGTGGTTAAGAGCAGCGGACTCCAATCCAGAAAAGCGAGTTTGGTTCCCCACTCCTCCACATGCAGCTGCTGGTGTGACCTTGGGTCAGTCACAAGTGCTCTCAGAGCTGTTCTCTCAAGGGCAGTTCTCGAAAGAGCTCTCAGCCCCACCTACCTCACAGGGTGTCTGTCTGTTGTGGGAAAGGAGATTGTAAGCCGCTCTGAGACTCCAAGTGAAGGGCAGGGTATAAATCCAACTCTTCTTCCTCCTCTGGTGGATTTAAGAAGCCGTTGTAATGGGGCTTCCTAAAATCCAGAATGGCCCCTGTTTGCCCTCAAAAGCTCTGAATGGGCTCCATGAAGATAAAGGGTCTAACTCCTACCATACTAAGTTTTTGTCTGCCCACCTCAGGATGGTCATTTGACAGACGGTGGCTTTCCAAGATCTCAGACAGAACAAGAGCTTTCACAACATCTCCTGCCTAGATCCTCTATTATTTTTATTTATTAAAAATTTTTATCCCGGCCAAGTCCGGCTCAGGGCAGCTTACAGATGGATAAAATTCCCATAATACAACCATAATAAAATCACATAAATACAGCATTAAAAATCAAACAAGATAAAGTGCTAGCAACATTCCTCATATTCCAATTGACTCTTCGGCCTTCTGCGAGAGATGCCAAGTTGATCCTGCAGTGTTCTCTGTGTAAGGCAGGGCGGATTTGATTTAAACCACAATTTAAGCCACTAGTCAGTAAGACTAGATTTAAGTCATGGTTTTCTACATGAAGGCTCATGTTGGCCGGCCTGAATATTTACAACCCAGATAAAGGTTTCATTTTAGTATAATAACTTTTCGGGTTCGTTTAGTTATATCAGAAGATTAATGACTGGTTATTCACCACTTGAAATAGATAATCGGGAAACCTTGACGTGCTTTGGGGCAACTGGGCTGTTGTCTCCAAGCCTCCAGCGTAGTCAGCGGTGAGGATCAGGTTCCTTAACTAAGGCTTCTGAAATTTTAATTTTTATTTTCTCTCTCTCCCTCTCGTCTTTGCAGCTGGGTGTTTGTGTGGGAAAAAGGTTACCAAGAGACAGATTCGGTCGTGAGTTCGGTAACCACCAAGGTGAAAGGACTTGCTGTGACCAACACCTCGGCGCTGGGACTCCGGGTCTGGGATGTGGCAGACTATGTGATCCCCCCTCAGGTACACTTCTTAGGGGGGGACTTCTGTGGCTTCTCTAGACCGGGGGTCCCCAGCTGCGGGTGCCTTTGGAATTCCGAGACCACCTGGTGGGTGCAGCCCCAAAATGGCTGCCTCTGGCCACAAAATGGCCGCCACAGCTTCCCCTCAGTCACCGAGTGAAGATCTTTGTGCTGGGGTGGCAGCGGCTGCCAAAGCAACATCTTTTAAAGATGTGCACAGCCAGTCAAGTCTCCAGTGGCTAGTCAGAACCCTTGCTGGGCAAAAGTCCCTCCTGGACCTGGCCGCTTCTGAAAAATATTTGATGAACGTCAGGAAAGTCACTGGTAGGCCATGCTCCTGGCATTAAAGTTGTGAGCGAGCGATTTGGCTGCTGCATCAATCAGTTTGCTCTGGAGCCCTCCTTCCTGAGCCAAGACAAAAACGGGTGAGCCGGAGGCTAAAAAACTGTGAGCTGGCTCACACCAACTCAGCTTAGAGGGCACACTGCAAGTGGTGGGTGCCATGGAGTTCACAGGCCGCATGTTGGGGACCTCTGCCCTAGAACGGCATGCTGGCAGTTCTTGTATGTGGTTGTTCGTTTTTAGCTTTCAGGCTTTCATAGAATCATAAAATCATAGTGTTGGAAGGGAACTCCAGGGTCATCTAGTCCAACCCCCCGCACAATGCAGGAAATTCACAAATACCTCCCCCCCACACACCCCCAGTGACCGCTGTTCCATGCCCAGAAGATGACAAAAAAACTCCAGGACCTCTAGCCAAACTGGCCTGGAGAAAAGCTGTTTCCTGACCCCAAAGTGGCGATCGGCATTTCCCTGGGCGGGTAAGAAAGGGCCACAAGGACTAAACACTGAGGCAACCTTTCCTTCCCTCCCTCACATGATCTCATTTCCTTTGTTATGATCTAATCCTGCCGTTGAGGCGCCCAGGGTGGCCTATATGATTTCCTGCCTTGTAATTGTCACAACAACCCTGCAAAGTAGGTTGGGCTTAACAGTGACTGGCCAAAGGATTACCCAGTGTGAGTGAGCTCCATGGCATAATGGGGATTCGAACCTGGGTCCTAGTTGGACACTCTATCTACTGGGCCACCCTGGATTTATTGTAGGTAGACTGTAAAGAGCATAGAGCTCTTAAAGGGTTGTAAGAAGATGCATATCTTGGGGGGGGGGGACAGACAGAAAAACCCTCTGGAGGTTTCCCGTTGGCAAGAGAAGGGATGGTGGGATAGATTTTTGGGGGCTCTCTCCTTCCAGGTATGGGGGGCACCTGGAGAAGGCGGCAAAGCTATGGTCTCTGCCCACGGTGGCTTTTGGCCCACAGATCCACACAACGGTTAACTGGAAGGAGAGATGAGTGGGGCAGCCGGATCCTGCTTTCTTAAACTGGCCCTTTGCTTGCTCCTGTCTTAATGTTTAACTTCCTCCTGTTTGTTCTCTTTCACGTGAGCCAGGGGGGTGGGGTGGGGAGAGCTTTTCTCCTCCTTCCTCATGTATCTGCTGAAGTGAGCTCCGGCTTCTGGAAGCTTCCGCTGGAATAAATCGCGTGAGTCTCTAGGGGGCCCCAAATGACTCCTTGATATTCTTCTAGCAGAATCTGCTTCGCGTTAGTGTTATGGACAGGGTGCTGTCTTCCGTTCCTCAGCAGGGATTTCTTTTCTTTTTAAAAAAGTCCCCTTTTTGTGTCGGTTTGCGGTGTTTTGCTCCCACCGTGCGGCATGGGGGGTGGTAATCTTTCCTTTTGCAAGGGATGGCACGGGAATGGAAGGACAATGGGAAGGTTTCCCAGCTTCCTTTGCCAGCCTCGAGGGTTAGGACACAGCATTTTTAAAAGTTAAAAAGGATAAACCTCGATTTAAACTTCAGCATAACTGGTCTGTCTGGGAGGTGTCTAGACCCAGTGCCTGAGGGACTTTGTTGCTGTCCTGCGTCTGAGGTCTGTTGAACGGGATAGCAGTTGAATGGAATACCAATTCTGCTCCCTGTCCCCAGGATCTGTCTGCTGAGCCACTCTGGTGTAGTGGTTAGGAGCGCGGACTTTAACCTGGAAGAACCGGGTTTGATTCCTCACTCCTCCACATGCAGCTGCTGGTGTGACCTTGGGTCAGTTCCAAGTTCTTTCAGAGCTGTTCTCTCACGAGTAGTTCTCAAAAGAGCTCTCTCAGCCCCACCTACCTCACAGGCAGTGTTCCCTCTAAGCTGAGTTAGTGTGAGCTAGCCCACCGTTTTTTAGCCTCCGGCTCACCCATTTTTGTCTTAGCTCAGGAAGGATGGCTCCAGAGCTAACTAATTTATGCAGTAGCCAAATCGCTCACTCACAACTTTAGTGCCAGTAGCTCACAAAGTCGAGTTTTTGATCACAAGACTCCACGGCTTAGAGGGCACATTGCTCACAGGGTGCCTGTTGGGGAGAAAAGGGAAAGGAGATTGTAAGCTGCTCTGAGACTCCGCTGGGTAGTGAAGGGCGGGGTATAAATCCAATCTCTTCTTCTACTTCTTTATTGCCTGCAGGTATTGGGTACTCCTGGTTTTCTCCTGCTTCAGCCCTTATAAAACAACATAAATGAGATTGGGAGTGGGAGTGGGGAGTGCAGTTGGAGACAATCTGGTCTTCTCTGCTTCTGTTGTCATTGAATCAATCTTCCTCCCCATGTGACAAGGATGTTGGTCTTTCTTGCAATACTGGGGTTGTTCCAACTTCTGCATTTGGCTTCCACTTTAGCCGTAACACGAGAAGCTGTTAGACAAATGTTTGGTTGGGTGGGTCAAGTCCCTCTTCTTCCTTCTGCAAATCTCCTCTCGACCCATCCTGCCCCACAAACCTTCAAACCTCTGCAGCCTGTTTGTTCTCCTGCCTGCCGACGGCGCATTACTACACTTGACCTGCACCCTTTACTGGCATCGCTTATTCCTGCTTGAACTGACTATCTCGTGGCTTTGCAGGAACCACACTGCTTGTCAACAGTCTGCCGCTGACACCGTCGCTCTCAGCTGTTAGAATGCAGGGTGACATACAGGCGGTGTGTGGGCAATTGAAGTACATCATGCTTATTTGGGTAGGAGAAGTGGGAACTACTGAGGGCGCCTGGGTTTTGGACACTGTGGTGACGAACACACACACAACACACACACACACTAAATAATTGACTTTCAATCTGCTTTTAATGCACTTTCCAACTGGATGTTGCCAGTTCACACAGTAAAATCCAGTTGGAAAGTGCATTGAAAGTGGATTTTTTAGTGTGTGTGATCGCAGCCTGTGTGACCCAAACTGTTGGATTGGATGGGCTGTTGGCCCAATCCAACATGGCTTCTCTTATGTTCTTAAGCCAGTTTGGTGTAGTGGTTAAGTGCGTGGACTCTAATCTGGGAGAACCGGGTTTGATTCCCCACTCCTCCACTTGCAGCTGCTGGATGACCTTGGGCTGCCATAGTTCTGTCAGAGCTGTCCTTGAAAAAGAGCCGTTCTGGAGAGAGCTCTCTCAGCCCCACCTACCTCACAGGGTGTCTGTTGTGGGGAGGGGAAGGGAAAGGAGTTTGTAAGCCGCTCTGAGGCTCCGAGTGAAGGGCGGGGTAGAAATCCAATTTCTTCTTCTTCAATCTCCTTGCCATGTGTAAACTCATCACTGTTTCTGTGCCGTATGTAGGGTGAAAATGCCGTCTTCGTTATGACCAACCTGATCATCACGTTGAATCAGACACAGGGGCACTGTCCAGAGGTATGCCTCATCAATAAGGGTCTCCGTCTTTAGAGTTCATTTAGTGTCTCCCTGCCCTGAGATTCTGAAGTGGAGCTCCCAACCATTCAGAGCCTGTGGGGACCTTTGGAATTCTGACATGACACGGTCGGCACACCCACAAAACTGCTGCCATGACATAGCTGCCGCAGGAGGCAAAGCCAGCCACAAGCGTATCTTCAGTCACGCAGTGAAGATCCTTCTGTTGTGGTAGCAGCTGCTGCCAAAGCAACGTTTTTAAAAATCTTCTCAGCCAGTCAGAAGCCTTGCTGGGCAAAAGCCCTGCCTGGCCCTGCCATTTCCTAAAAACACTTGGTGGGCATCAGAAAAGGTTTCGGTGGGCACTGTGGTGTTTTGGTTGAGCATTTTGGTGCTGGCGACCAGTGTTGCCTCTCAGCTGAGTTAGTGTGAGCGAGCTCACAATTTTTTAGCCTCCAGCTCACGCATTTTTGCCTTCGCTCAGGAAGGATGGCTCCAGAGCCAACTAATTTATGCAGTAGCCAAATGGCTCGCTCACAGCTTTAAGGCCAGTAGCCCACAAAGTAGAATTTTTGCTCACAAGACTCCACAGCTTAGAGCAGGGGTGTCAAACATGCGTCCCGGGGGCCAGATTAGGCCCCCGGAGGGCTTCTATCAGGCCCACAGTGGAACCAGCTGTCTTCTGCTTCTTCCAGTTCTGCTGCTGCGTCATTGTAGGTTTGCAGCTTACAGATACACTCCTGAACAGCATACTCAAGATTGCAACAGCGAAGACATTTTGATGCGATAATTCAGAGCAAGAGGTGTAGTTATCAGACACTGTTAAATAAACAAAATATTGCAAGAGTGCTAATGTTTTAAGCATGTTTTTATTTTAAGTTAAAAAACCCCTTTGTTTGTGTCCTTTATGAAGTTTATATCTCCGCTACCTGGCATTACATTTTATGACACACATGGCCTGGCCCAACAAGGTCTCAGTTATGTCAGATCTGGCCCTCGTAACAAATGAGTTCGACACCCCTGGTTTAGAGGGAGCATTGCTGGTGACCTCTGCAGGGCTGGAAGTCGAGTGTGTAATTAGCAGGCCCTGTTTTGGATCCTGCTCGTGGAGTTTAAAAAAACGGAAATCCAGGCAGTTCTGAAATAACTTTTTCCCTGTGTGCCTCTGCACGAGCCGATTCAAAAGTGGAGGTCAGTGGAATATCCGAAGAGGCCTTTGTGTTTGTGTTTGTGTGTGTGTGTGTGTGTGTGGGGGGGGTGTTCAGTGTATTTTAGGCATTGGCTACCCACAGTTTTTCCTCTTGTAGTTTCCAGATAAGACGACCGTGTGCTCCTCCGATAAGAACTGCACGGAAGGGTTTATCAGCACTCACAGCAACGGTAAGCCTTGTCTCTTTAGATGAAAAGCGGGGGCCCGTCTTTTGTTCAGCTTTTCTTTGTAGCAGTTCTGTCATATTCGGAATAAATTCTCGGTATGAATTAGAGATGTGAAGACCTGGGAAAAAACCGGAAAAATTAGGGGGGAAACCGTGTTTTCCCCCCCGTTTTTTCCCTGAAGCCTTTTTTGTTTTTTTCCGAACAATTGGAAAAATTGAGAAAAGAAAAGAAAAAAAAATGATTCTGGAGCGTTTTATTTTAACATGATGAATAAAATATTTTAAGACATTTCTAAAAATATATATATATGGTATCAGATTGATCTAATTTCTGTGCACTGAGGACAAGCAAGTCCTAGGTTACAAACTGAACTCTCCAATGCAAGAACAAGATGCATTTCTTGCTTTAGGAGGTGCTATTGTCAGAAGAAAATAAAAAGGTTTCAGTTTTGTTTTTGCATGTGGGTGGGTATTCTGTTCATAATAATTGTTTGGATACACTATATTTTTAATATGCTAGTTGTGATAATTTCATGCCATGTAAAAATGCCCATAGTCATATTTTATGTTCCTAAAGTAACAGAATGACTTTCAATTAGAAAAGACAAAAGAAATGCTAATGTAGCATTTTTTTGAATTTTTCCTAAAAGTTCAGTTTCCCCCCCAAAAAAACTGGGGAAAAACCGGGGTTTTTTCCGAGCTTCAAAATTTCCGGAAATTTTACATCTCTGGTATGAATCTAGAGCAGGAGTCCCCAACCTCTGAGCCTGCGGGCACCTTTGGGGTCCTGTCACAGTGTGGTGGGCGCAGACACAAAATGGCTGCCACAGTATAGCTGATGTGAGAGGCAGGGTCAGTGATAAAATGGCCGCCGAGGCTGGCCTTCAGTCACACAGTGAAGATCCTTGTGCTGTGGTGACTGCTGGTGCCGAAGTGATATTTTAAAAAGTCTGCCTAGCCAATCAGAAGCTTTGCTCGGTGCAAAGCCCCCATGGCCACACCCACTTTTACTTGGGTGCCAGGAATGAAGAAGAAGAGGAGGAGATTGGATTTATACCCTGCCCTTCACTCGGAGTCTCAGAGCGGCTTACCATCTCCTTTCCCTCCCCCTCCCCACAACAGACACCCTGTGAGGTAGGTGGGGCTGAGAGAGCTCTTTCGAGGACTGCTCCTGAGAGAACAGCTCTGAGGGAACTTGTGACTGACCCACAGTAACACCAGCATCTGCATGTGGAGGAGTGGGGAATCAAACCCGGTTCTCCCAGATTAGAGTCCGCGCTCCTAACCACTTAGAGTTGCCAAGTCTTGCCATGTTAAAAGCTGGGAAGTCCAGGGCTGTCTCCGGCATACGCGCGCCGCGATGGCGGCACCCGAAAGTGATATCATCACGTTGGGGTGGTACCACTACCATTTGAGGGAAAACTATAGAGTTTTCCCTCAAATGCTAGAGCGCCCCCCGGCAACGTGACCAATGTGATGACATCACTTCCGGGTGACGCAATCGCGCTGCGCTTGTCACCGCGTGCCCGGCACTTTGTGGGTGGGGTTCCCCCCAGCGGCCCAATCCGGGCCGACGGGTTAGGGACCTATCGAGCGGGGGTTCCTCCGCCCCCCGGGGGACCTGGCAACCCTGTAACCACTACACCAAACTGGCTCCCATGGGCACCAGGTTGGCGACCCCTGTCCTAGTGCTTTAGAGTGTTCGGAGCACGTAATATGCAATCGATCCACGTGTACATCTTGTTTTAAAAATATCTTCTTACGTTCTCACAGAAGATCCTTGTGCTGTGGTGGCAGCTGCTGCCGAGGCAAAGTTTTTAAAAATGTGCACAGCCAATCAAAGCCCTGATTAGCAAAAGCCCCACCCATTTCCTGAAAACACTTGATGGGCGCCAGGGAAAGGTGTTGGCAGGTGCCATGACGCCCACGGGCGTGATGCTGGGGCCCCCTGCGCTAGGGAAACGTCATAGGTCCGCTTGCAGGGTTGTTGTGTCTCGGTGAGGGCTGCCAGACCTCAGGGTGGGGGGCAGAGGAGATGCCCAGGTCCCGTTGCCACTGCCACCAAGAGCCACCTTGGGGTAGTGGTTAAGAGTGGTGGACTCTAATCTGGAGAACCGGGTTTGATTCCCTACTCCTCCACGTGCAGCTGTCTGGGTGACTTTGGGTCAGTCACAAGTTCTCTCAGAGTTGTTCCCTCAGGAGCAGTTCTCTCAGAGCTCTCTCAGCCCCACCTACCTCACAGGGTGTCTGTAGTGGGGAGAGGAAGGGAAAGGAGATAGTAAGCCGCTTCAAGACTCTGTCGGGTAATGAACAACAGGGTATGAAACCTTCTTCGGTTTGGGATAGTGGTTAAGAGCAGTGGACTCTAATCTGGAGAGCTGGGTTTGATTCCCCATCTCCTCCTCCACATGGAGCCAGCTGGGTGACCTTGGGTCAGTCACCGTTCTTTCAGAGCTGTCTCAGCCCCACCTGCCTCACACGGTGTCTGTTGTGGGGAGAGGAAGGGAAGGCATTCGTAAGCCATTCTGAGACTCCTTCGGGTAATGAAGAGCAGGGTATAAAACCGCTTCTTATAGTGGTGGCAGGAGAAAAATGTTTTAAAAATGCCACCTTCTGTACTTGACCAGAAGTGACACAGAGTAGCTCTAAGAATTGATGGAAACGGTATATTTTCCCCCCTGCAAGGCTGTGCCCCCCCAAACTCTTCCACCAGTTGCCTGGCAACCGTAGCCTCAGCCCACTGCAATCTGGAAATTTACCAATCTCAGTGGGCCTCGGTCCCCAGAAATTAGCCTCCCTTAGTAACGGCTTTGTTGTATCCCTACAGGGATTCAGACTGGGAGATGCGTAGTGAACAAAGGCCATAGTAAAACTTGTGAGATCTTTGGGTGGTGTCCTGTGGAGGACGACGAAAATGTACCCAGGTGAGTGAAACCAGTTGATAGAATTGAGAGTGATTCTGAAATGTGCCCCGGGGGTGGCGAGGACTAAAGACTCCGTGTACTTGTCTGTCTTCCCCCAGTCTTCCTCTGTAAGGTTGACTGTTGTTCACTGCCACAGGAAGTGGTGGCAGCTACAAGTATAGCCAGCTTCAAGAGGGGATTGGATAAACCTATGGAGCAGAGGTCCATCAGTGGCTATTAGCCACAAGGTATAGAGGGAACACTCTGCCTGGGGCAAGGGATGCTCTGTATTCTTGGTGCTTGGGGGGCAAGGTGGGAGGGCTTCTAGTGTCCTGGTCCCACTGCTGGACCTCCTGATGGCACTTGGTATTTTTGGCCCCTGTGTGACACAGAGTGTTGGACTGGATGGGCCATTGGCCTGATCCAACATGGCTTCTCTTATGTTCTTATGTGTGGGGCAGTGATGTTTTGTATTCTTGGTGCTTGGGGGGGGGCAACAGTGGGAGGGCTTCTAGAGTTGTGGCCCTGCTGGTGGACCTCCTAAGGGCACCTGGGTCTTGGCCACTGTGTGACACAGAGTGTTGGACTGGAAGCACCACTGGTCTGAACCAACATGGCTTCTCTTAGGTTCTTATGTGTTCTGTACTCTTGGTGTTGAGAGGCAACAGTGGGAGGGTTTCTGGAGTTCTGGCCCTGCTTTTGTGCCTCCTGAGGGCACCTGGGTTTTGGCCACTGTGTGACACAGAGTAATATGAGTGGGTGTCAAAGTGGCAAATAGGGCTCAGTGTGGCCAAGTGCGAAGTGATGCACATTGGGGCCAAAAATCCTCACTATAAATACACGTTGATGGGGTCCAAACTGGCAGAGACTGACCAAGAGAGAGATATTGGAGTCATAGTAGATAACTCATTGAAAATGTTGAAACAGTGTGCAACTGCAATAAAAAAGGCTAACACTGTGCTGGGGATTATTAGGAAGGGAATTGAAAACAAATCAGCCAGTATCATAATGCCCCTGTATAAATCGATGGTGCAACCTCATTTGGAATACTGTGTGCAATTCTGGTCACCACACCTCAGAAAGGATATTATAGCATTGGAAAAAGTGCAGAAGAGGGCAACTAGAATGATAAAAGGGTTGGAACACTTTCCCTATGAAGAAAGGTTGAAGCACTTGGGGTTCTTTAGCTTGGAAAAAACGATGTCTGAGGGGTGACATGATCGAGGTTTACAAGATTATGCATGGGATAGAGGAGGTAGAGAAAGAGGTACTTTTCTCCCTTTCTCACAATGCAAGAACTCGTGGGCACTCCATGAAATTGCTGAGCAGTCGGGTTAGAACAGATAAAGGGAAGTAATAGATAGGAACTCTCAGGCTGGGGCAAGTGGTGCACTGTATTCTTAGGCTGGGGGAGGGAACAGTGGGAGGGCTTCTAGTGTCCTGACGCCACTGCTGGAGCTCCTGATGGCACCTGGTATTTTTGGCCACTGTGTGACACAGAGTGTTGGACTGGATGGGCCACTGGCCTGATCTAACATTGGCTTCTCTTATGTTCTTATGTGAGATTATGCTGCATTGCTTCTCGGTCACTCTCTCTACCTGGAGAATTCCAACATGGGAACAAACGCTAAAACCTGCAGGCCGCAGGAGCTCTCTTGGCTAGTAATGGCAGCCGCTCTCTTTGGTTTTTCTCCCTTCTCCCCCCCAATCCTCCTAGGCCTGCTTTCCTCCAGGGAGCTGAAAACTTCACCCTGCTGGTCAAGAACAACATCTGGTATCCCAAGTTCAGCTTCACAAAGTACGTACCCTCCACTAAACTCTCTGGGGCGGCGGGGGGGGGGGAGTCTCTGGTGGGCCAGTTTGTTGTCGTGATTAAGTGTGCAGACTCTAATCTGGGAGAACCAGTTCTGATTCCCCACGCCTCCACTCTCAGCTGGTGGATGACCTTGGGCAGGCCATAGTTCTGTCAGAGCTGTCGTTGAAAAAGAGCTCTCTCAGCCCCGCTTACCTCACAGGGTGAGGTAATAAGACAAACAACATTTGTGGCAGGGTTGTTCAGATCAGGGTAGTTCGGGAGCCCCCAGCTCCTGCCAACTTAGCATTTCGAAAGCAAGAAATTGCAAGTAGAGAAATGGGTACCGCTTTGGTGGGAAGGTAACAGCGTTCCATGCGCCTCGGCGTCTAGTCATGCCGGCCACATGATCATGGAAATGTCTTCAGACAGCGCTGGCTCTTCGGCTTGGAAACAGAGATGAGCACCGCACCCCTAGAGTTGGATTCGACTGGCTTTCGAGCAAGGGAACCCTTTACCTTTTTAGTTCAGACCTGAAGAGGTGAGCAGTGACTCACGAAAGCTCATAAGCTGTGTCAAGAGAAAGTGTCTTCTCTATATCGATCAATCTGACCGTTAAGTGTCACCCTTTGCTCTGTGGTAGGATCTCAAGGCAAATGGCCCTTTTCCTGTTTGTACCATCTAAGCAGGAAGAATAACAATGGCTCAAGCCAAAAAGGGTTATCAGCTGCACATCAAAGTGCACCGCTTAACTAGAGACCCCGTGGCTCCAGCTCTGGGGGATTGTGTGCACAAACAAATAGTGCAATTTGTTTTAAATTCTTGTTCTTAGCTGTTTTTCTTTTAACTTGTTTACTGATGTACTTTTATTGTGATGCCAAATGGTCCTGTGATCTGCACGGAGCCCACTTGTGGGGAGGGTGGAATAGAAGTTCAAAAAAAGAACTCAATTGATAAATAAACTATTCTTATTTATTTATTTATTTGTTAGACTTTTACTATTCTTATTTGTTTGTTTGTTAGACTTTTACCCCGCCCTCCCGCCGAAGCGGCTCAGGGCGGCTTACAATAGTTAAAAACCAGTATACAATTAATAAAATATCGAGTCTATAACAATACAATCGATAAAACGTCAAAATACAACTTATTAAATTTAAGATTAAGATGTGGCGGCCATCTGTTACGGAGTGCTAGTAATGTGGAGCTCGGTCTTTACCGCTCTACGGAATTGTTGTTTGCATCAAAGATGCTCCCTTCCATACTGGGAACTATAGGATCCCTCCAGCTTTTGAACCATGAGGGAGAGAATGAGCACATGATTTGTTTTGCAGACAGAACCTTGGTGCAGGCATCATCCAGCAGTCTTTAATAAGCAACACCAAAAAAGAGGTGGTTGCTTCTCAGTTGGGCTACCACCTGCGTCTCAAATTGAGCTGCTTAACCGCTCTCAGGTGGGCCAAGGGGGCAGTTGTCCAGTTGCCCTATGAAATGACGCCAGACAGAGGAGTAGAGGTAGGAGGTTTGTGCCCCCATGCACGTTGGCACGCCTCAGGGAGACCTTTTCCCAGGTCTGATTCTACCATCGGGAAAAGGGGGCCAGGAATCTCGCATTGCACCAGCCTAAGCGCTAGCTTGGTATAGTGGTTAGGAGCGCAGACTCTAATCTTGGGAGAACCGGGTTTGATTCCCCACTCCTTCACTTGCAGCTGCTGGTGTGAGCTTGGGTCAGTCACAAGTTCTCTCAGAGCTGTTCTCTCAAGAGTGGTTTTCAAAAGAGCTCTCTCAGCCCCACCTTCCGCACAGGGTGTCTGTTGTGGGGAAGGTAAAGGGGGATCAAACCCAGTTTTCCCAGATTAGATTCCACGCTCTTATCCAGTAAACCAATTGGCTCTCGAAGAAGCTGTCAGGTTTGTTTGAAAAAATCTGGCAAGAGGATGAATTTGTAACCCTGACCAAATCGTAATTTCATACTAATGGTCGATTTAAGGTGGGGGGAAAGAGGGAGAGAGCTGCCAGATTTTGGTGTGTGTGGGGGTGTTTCAGTTGTGCCTGGTTCATAATTTAACCCATACTTCAGGGGCCAGTTTTCTTTGGGGTGAGGTTGCAGTGGGTGGCCTGTCTCAGCATTGACTAAAATACTTGGGGGGGTCTTTCTCGCTCATCCTAACCCTGAAATCTTTTCCTCCCTTCCCTCCTCTAGGCGAAACATTCTCCCCACCATCAACAAAACATATCTCCAGTCTTGCAAGTACCACCCCAAAACTGATCCCTTTTGCCCGATTTTCCGCCTCCGCGATATGGTGGATGCCGCTGGGCAGGACTTCCAAGAGATGGCGGTTGAGGTTGGTGAGGCGGAATGGGTGGATGGGCCGTACCTGCAGCTAACCCTTCCTCCCAAAGAAAGGAGGGCAGCGTTTAGTGTTTAGAGCTGGTGTTTCTAGAAACATCTTTGTTTCTACACCAGGATCCGTAAAAAGATTCCACAAACCGCATAATGAAAATACCTATTAATGAGTCTTTCAAACGGAGTCCTCAATTTTGAAATATAAAAGAGAAAAATGTAGAAGCCTTGAAATATAGTCTTTTTTTAATTCATAAGAACATAAGAGAAGCCAATGTTGGGTCAGGCCAGTGGCCCATCCAGTCCAACACTCTGTCACACAGTGGCCAAAAATACCAGGTGCCATAAGGAGGTCCAGCAGGGCGGCAGGGCACTAGAAGCCCCCCCACTGTTGACCCCCCCAAGCACCAAGAAGACAGAGCATCCCTTGCCCCAGCCTGAGAGTTCCTATCTATACCTTGTGGCTAAGAGCCACTGATGGACCTCTGCTCCATATCCATACATTCACAATTTATTAATTTCTCTAGTGAACAATAATACAGGTTACTGACCTTATTTTCCATCAATCTATTTATCCATCAATTCACCCTCAAAATTCTTAATAATAGAAAGTGCTCTCAAACTAATCCACTAACTTCTGTTATCCCTAATTTGTAACCAAGAGTTACTTCCTATTCTGATTCCTATTCTCTTATCACACCGGTTCAATATGATTCCATTCCAGAAGCCCTAATATTCTTAACAGATGGCTGCTAAATGGAGCCTCCAGGGTCTGAGGCAGTCTATCACTGAGTACCATTGCTGGAAGGCAACAACACGAGAAGCCTTTTGCCTTCCATGCCCTGCTTCTGGCTTGTCTGCTGATGGGAAAAGAGGCAAATGGAGCAGACAGACCTACCTTTAGGTCCAGCGGGGCTGTTCTTCTGTTCTTGACTATCGCTTCTGCAATGCTTAATTCTTTCCAAGAGGCTTGCAACAAAAGAAGCAAACAGTGCAAAGAGACCCAGTTTTTGGAGGAAGCGGGATTGCTTGTAGGGAGCACTCTTCTTTGTAAAAAGGTTCTGTTTCCCCAAATAGTTAATAGTTCCTTACATCTAGCATGCCCCCCTCCCCCCTCCCCCCCGGCAGTGTACATTCATTTACTTAGAGGTGTCGAGAGGTGTCGAACTCATTTGTTATGAGAGCCGGATCTGACATAAATGTGTCATTTCAGAATGAAAACGTCTGAAGTAGTTGTAACACGAAATGAATCTGGTTAAGCCCGGGGTCTCTGTTCTGGGAGAACCGGGTTTGATTCCCCACTCCTCCACTTGCAGCTGCTGGTGTGACCTTAGGGAAGCCATAGTTCTGTCAGAGCTGATCTCTCAAGGGCAGTTCTGGAAAGAGTTCTCTCAGCCCCGCCTACCTCACAGGGAGTCTGTTGTGGGGAGGGGAAGGGAAAGGAGTTTGTAAGCTGCTCTGAGTGAAGGGCGGGGTATAAACCCAATCTCCTCCTCCTCCTCTTCTTCTTCTTCTTTGGTGTAGCCAGTTTGGTGTAGTGGTTAAGTGCACGGACTCTAATCTGGGAGAACCGGGTTTGATTCCCCGCGCCTCCACTCGCAGCTGCTGGATGACCTTGGGCAAGCCATAGTTCTGTCAGAGCTGTTCTCTCAAGGGCAGTTCTGGAAAGAGTTCTCTCAGCCCCATCTACCTCACAGGGAGTCTGTTGTGGGGAGGGGAAGGGAAAGGAGTTTGTAAGCCGCTCTGGGACTCCGAGTGAAGGGCGGGGTATCCCGATCCCAGACTCTAATCTGGGAGAACTGGGTTTGATTCCCCACTCCTCCACTCATACCTGCTGGATGACCTTGGGCAAGCCATAGTTCTGTCAGAGCTGTTCTCTCAAGGGCAGTTCTGGAAAGAGTTCTCTCAGCCCCATCTACCTCACAGGGAGTCTGTTGTGGGGAGGGGAAGGGAAAGGAGTTTGTAAGCCGCTCTGGGACTCCGAGTGAAGGGCGGGGTATAAATCCAATCTTTTCTTCTTCTCCAGTGTCCTTCATAGCAGGCTACTCTGCATCTGCGTTGCCCTCCACCCTGTTCCAAGGGCCACAGCAGTGCCCCAACCCCCAAACCAACATCCTTTCTTGTAGAGAGTCAGCGTGGTGTAGTGGTTAAGTGTGGCGGACTCTGATCTGGAGAACCGGGTTTGATTCCCCACGCCTCCGCCACAGGAAGTCTGCTGGGTGGCTTTGGGCCAGTCACAGTTCTGTCAGCACTCTCAGCCCCACCTACGTGCCTGTTGTGGGGAGAGGAAGGGAAGGTGATTGTAAGCCGCTTTGACTCTCCTTGAGGCAGAGAAAAACGGGGTATAAGAACCAACTGTTCTTCTCCTAGCAACATCTGGAACCTCCCAAACCCAACATCACCCAAAGCCCCTTTTAAAATTCTACCCACCCCCAAAAAAACCCCAACCCTGTTTTGACTCTCCTTCTGAAGGATCAGTGGAATGGTACCAGATGAACCTTCATGGGCGTGAGGGACTTCCAGTGTCCTGGTACCACCACCCAAAAGGCCCTCCAGTGGCATTGCACAGAGCAGAGATTCAGCAGAGGACTTTGGTATAGGCGGGCCGTCAGGCAGCCCTGTTTGTAATTTAATTTAACTGTCCCGGATGCTGGGGCTGGGAATGTTTTCTTCTGGATTTAACGCAAACGCCTGGCTGCATCTTGTGCAGGGCGGCGTGATGGGGCTGCAAATCAACTGGGACTGTGACCTGGACAAACCTGCTTCTCGCTGTGTGCCAAAGTACAGCTTCCGACGCATTGACAACAAGGATTCTTCCCACACTGTCTCTCCAGGGTACAATTTCAGGTCAGACGACAGGATAACCCCATCCATAGACATTTGGTGGTGACGTGTCTCTCATTTTCACACATTCTGGGAATAACAGGATTCAGGTATTCTGTTGGAAGCAAGTCTCTAGACCTGACTGTTGCAAAAAAGATAATGGGGTTGGCTGCAGTGTTCCCTCTAAGCTGAGTTAGTGTGAGCTAGCTCACAGTTTTTTAGCCTCGGGCTCACACATTTTTGCCTTCGCCCAGGAAGGAGGGCTCCAGAGCAAACTGATTCATGCAGCAGCCAAATCGCTCGCTCACAACTTTAATGCCAGTAGATCACAGAGTTACTGATGCTGGGAAAGATTGAAGGTCAAAGAAGACGGGGAGGGCAAAGGATGAGATGGTTAGACAGTGTCATAGATGCAACGAACATGAAATTGAGCCAACTTCAGAGGACGGCGGAAGACAGGAGGGCCTGGCGTGACCTGGTCCATGGGGTCGTGAAGAGTCGGACTCGACTGTGCGACTGAACAACAACACAGAGTAGAATCTTTGCTCACAAGACTCCGCAGCTTAGAGGGAGCGTTGGTTGGCTGTCATGTTGCAGATAAGTGACGATGAACCTCTTAGGGTTTTTCAAGACAAACAGAGGTGGTTTGTTATTGCCTGGCTCTGCGTAGCAGCCTTGGACTTCCTCATCAGTCTCCCATCCAAGACCTAACCAGGTCCTACCCTGCTTAGCTTGGGCCCTCTGGCTCAAGGCAAAAGACATGCAGAGGTGGTTCACCATTGCCTGCCTTTGTGTACCAGTCCTGGTCTCTCATCCAAGTCCTAACCAGGACCGACCCTACTTAGCTTCCAAGACCTGATGAGATCAGGTTACTTTGGGCCATCCAGGTCTGTAAGTAGAATTAGGGCTATTTTTGGGGAGGAATGCACAGGAACGGAGTTACGGCTGGCTCCCAAGTTGGCCACGCCCAGCAGGAACTCATTAGCATAATAGGCCACGCCCAACAGCAGAAACGCATTCGGATTGGCTACAATTAGGGGTGTGTGGCCTAACATGCAAAAAGCCCTGGGTTTTGACAACAAACAAGGTAAAGAGAATAAGAAGCAAAAGGTGGGTGTGGCTGGATGACCACACTTCTGGTAACATGGGGGTGTGGCCTAATAGGCAAATGAGCTGTGCGGTCAGGGGTGTGGCCTAATATGCTAATGAGTCCCTGCTGTTGGGTGTGGCCTATTATGCTAATGAGTCCCTGCTGGGCTTTTTCTACAAAAAAAAGCCCTGAGTAGAATACTGTATGCAAATGTTTGTTAACACATCTTTCTTGATGCAGCGTTTTGGGCTCTCGTGTGGGTTTTCTTTTTTCTTGAGGGCTTAATGTATACACACCCTGGACGTAGACAGGGAGACGTCTGTGCCGAGACACGGTTTTTGTGAACAGATCTGAAACCCAGGTTCGGTGAGAGCAGTGGTGAATGAGCCAGTCTCGCCTGATCATGTCAGATCTCAGACGTTCAGCCGGGCGGGGCCTGGTTCGTGTTTGGAAGGGAGACGGCCAAGGAAGACCAGGGTCGTGACGCAGAGGCAGGCGGTGGCAAACCGCCTCTGTTTGTTTCTCGCCTTGAAAATCCGACGGGGCTGCTGTTCAAGTGGGTGTGACTTGATGGCACCGCCAGTGATAAAGGAGGCGGGATCGTCTCTAGTTGGGTTTTCTGACTGTGTCTTGAGGAGGCTTCTTGGCAGCTCCTTGGGATTTATTTTTTTTATGAAGCGATCTGGGAGGCAGGTGAGCTTCCCTGAAAGACACAAAAGCTCGGGAAGTGTCCCGGGGCATGCTCTGGGGCCTGCATGAGCCCTGTGTCCAGTTTGGTGTAGTGGTTAAGTGCTTGGACTCTAATCTTGGGAGAACCGGGTTTCATTCCCCACTCCTCCACATGCAGCTGCTGGTGTGACCTTGGGTCAGTCACAGGTTCTCTCAGAGCTGTTCTCTCAAGGGCAGTTTCTGTCAGAGCTCTCTCAGCCCCGCCTAAGTTTGATTCTTTTTGAAGAGTTCAGGGGAGAAATCTTGGATTTTATCCTCTGGGTGGTGAGTAGTTATAAAACAGCCCAGTTTGGTGTAGTGGTTAAGAGCAGCGGACTCTAATCCGGAAAACCGGGTTTGGTTCCCCACTCCTCCACATGCAGCTGCTGGTGTGACCTTGGGTCAGTCACAAGTGCTCTCAGAGCTGTTCTCTCAAGGGCAGTTTCTGTCAGAGCTCTCTCAGCCCCACCTACCTCACAGGGTGTCTGTTTGTGGGGAGGGGAAGGGAAAGGAGATTGTAAGCCGCTCTGAGACTCCAAGTGAAGGGTGGGGTATAAATCCAATCTCTTCTTCTGCTGCTGTGTGTAGCCAGTGTCTCCACCACGAAACATGCCCCAGGATTCTCAGGTGCACTTCAGCACATCTGGAGTTCCCACATTGTCTTATGGATAACGGATACCCTGAAGATGTAGCTAGTTTAACAGCCACTGATTTGCACCACTTTACATAGTGTACAGGTCTGGTGGGGCAGTCCAGCTAGCTTCATAACCAGCGAATCTCTTTTTTTGTGTGTTTTTTTGTTTTGTTTTGTTTTCTCTCTTCAGGTTTGCAAAGTATTACCAGACCCCTGAGGGAGTAGAGACCCGGACGCTCATTAAGGCTTACGGCATCCGCTTTGACATCATGGTCTTCGGGAAGGTAGCTGCCCTAGCGACAAATACATAGAAGTGGGGCTGGCTGCTGAGAGAGCCAGTTTGGTGTAGGGGTGTGCAAAAAAAAAAAATTCGGAAAAATTCGGATTCGGGTTTACTGGACCCGAATTTTTTCGGGAAACCCGAAAAAACCCGAATATCTATATCGGTAAAGCATAGTTATCCGAAATTTTTCGGAAAACCCAATTCGGGTCCATTATAACCAATGGGGCCATTGAAGTCAATAGCAAAAATCCTCTTGAAACTTTGTGGGGGGCTGGGGGGGAGGGGGTTTGGGGTAGAGGCTCCAAACTTGGAGCGTGCTTACTGGAACCTCTCCCCAACATA